AGCCCAATCTATTTTACAGGGTAGTTGTCATATTGTCATAGGGAAAAATATGAGGGCAGAGTACAGTGTATGCTCTGTTGAATTCCTGAAGACAAAGTGACAAACAAATAAAGTTACTTATATAGAATGTCAAGTCTCTTAACATTCAATTGCATTGTGCATTCTGGAACGACATAATGAAACATGAGAATGAAAAGGCATCAGTCTTTCTTTATGGAAGAATGTAGACAACTTCTGGGATCAAATGATTTGTTCTCCCCATATGGTGAAGAACTATGTGGTGTCATAACAAACTTGGCCCTTGTAGCCTTCCTACTGCTGCTTTCAGATGTGTTAATCCATCTGCTACTAACAAGCCCGAGGAAAAGAAAAGGAATGAACAGGATATTTTTTCTCTTTCTCTCTAGAGACAGAAAGGGAAGAGAGTCAGCTCAGCAATATCATTTTACTGTAAGATGATCTAAAAGACCAGATTTACTACACTAGAGAGTTTGACCACTGGCCAACTAGCTTTGTTTCCCACAGTTCAGCATTACAGAACAGAACTTCAGAGTAAGTAAGATAGCAATCCCCACTCAAAGAGACACTGAACAGTGTTTTAACGTGTAAATGTTAATAGAGCTAATAAAGCTAAGTCTTTATCTTAGCTTGAGAAAGCTATATATTTTGTTACACTCTGACCCATTGTATAATGTTAAAAACAAAATACGTGACATGAAGTAATTTATTTGGATTTGGTTTTTTGTTTTTTTTTAATTTGATTTATATGCCGCCCTTCTCCGGAGACTCAGGGCGGCTTACAATGTGCTAAGCAATAGCTTAGAACATTTTGTTAATCAAAAGATGTTCAGAGATGTCCATTTTCTCAATTCGTCAAAGGGTTCTACAGTGCTTCAGTCATTAACTGGAAGCTAATTCTTGGCCACAATGTCTAAATTAAGATTGGACTACTTGTGTACTTGCACAGTATTTAAAAAGTCTTGCTCCAGATAAAAGGTTTTATTCTGTGAGACAAATATAAATCCTCCATAGCATTCAAATTATCTATGAGGAAACCATTTCATATTTTATTTTATTTTATTTAAAATTACTTATTTCTTATTATAGCAATGTTTAGAGTGTGCAGTTATGAACTCCATTAATAAACCCATGTAGAGCCTTTGATTCCCAGGAGTGATTGCAAGATTCACTCCTGTGTCCTTTAATCTACACAGAGAATAATTGTTCACCAATGAATAAAGCAGTCTATTTCAACTTGGTGCCCCCTAGATGTGTTGGGGGCACCAAATCCTTAATGCTCAGTCACCATGCTAGATAAGATTGAAATAAAGAGAAACATGCCATAAATCTGTGGGAGCCTAAAGTTTTCTGGAGGTCTTTCCTATGCAAGAATCAAAGAGCTTGTGACTCACCAAAGCAAAGGCAATTCACTAACCTCTGGGTACTAAAAGCCTAAAGAATATGTTATTATTACCTCTGCTTCTTGAAATGGCAAAATCAAGCCCTTGCTAGCTATAATACATGGCATACATAACACATAGCATCCATAGCTTCAGTTCAGCTTAGCGAATTACAAGTTCTAAAGGGCAAGAGTATGGTCTACTTTGCTTCCTGCTATTTTTGCCAACTTTCAAGTTCAAGATGCTTCCTGTGGATCTCTAGAATGAGCCAGAAACAATGATCTTCAAGAAAGATCATTCTGCTGAAATACCATAATTCTGTTATTATTGTCCTAGCCCTTTTTCCAATCAGCTAGCAAAACAAAATAAACTGGCATGCATATTTTTCAAGTTCCTCCCCTCCCATAAACACTTGAGTTGTTTATTAGCAAGGTTATTAGCAAGAACTGAATTTGAAATTATCTTCCCAGTTCCTGCTAACTAAAGTTGTTACTTTACATTTGCGTAATATACCAAATCATCAGTAAGCCTCTGTCTTTGGTTAAAGAGCTGTGGGAATGGGAAGATGTGTAGTGAAACTGGAAGAAGGCATGATCTCTTTCGCCAAGTATGGTAACTTAGCATATTATCCAAACATGGCAATAAGTCAAAGTAAAATAGAGCTGTAAGGAGACAAGCTTTCCAAAATACATTAACATTCTAGCAGATTTTAGAGAAATAAAGGAAAACATTTTTGCATAATGTATTTCTGATAAATGCTGAGATTTTAATATGCTTTTGGAAGAAGTCAACCAAATTTTATTCCTTGGATCACACTTAAGGGGGAAAAACCCCCATACCATCTGCAAAGAAGTTATTCTTCCTATCCCTCTGCCAAATTTTACTTGGTGACAGCTGCATCCACTCACCCACTTGCAAGACAAGCTGGCAGAATTTTGCAGGTCTTAGACATCTACATCTGAGACAAAATATACAGCCCACTTTTTCATCATTTGGTGTATGCATCTATTGTTGTGTTCTCATTACATGTTCCCACTTGGTTAACTCGACCATGATTTATTCAGCTAATCTGATTTCATACAGTACTAGCTACACCAGAGGAGTTGCTGCAATAATATTTTCAAGGATTAAATGCACAAATTTGGAGAGTAATCAAAACAGTCATTTCAGGTGCCAGAGACTAGGCAGTATCAGTTAGTATGGTGGCAGCTTGCTGGCTTATTCCTTGAAATTAAAAGATGAGCCTCTTCTGTTGGGACTAACCTGTTAAGGCTGGGGTCAGTTTGATAGGTATAATAAAGAAGAAAGAATATATATAAACATTATCTTTAACCAATGCACTAACTAATGGTTTAACCAAACCAAGGCTGTGAAATTATCCCAGTTTTCTAGGTTTCCACCAAATCATTAACATGTGGGATGAATCCAAACTATGTTAGATTAACACATGTTGGCAAGTTTGTAGCTCAGAATATATATATTGACAACATACAGGTAGTTCTCAATTTATAGCCACAATTGAACCCAGTATTTATGTTGCTATGTGAGAAATTTGTTAAGTAAGTTTTACACCATTTTACAACTTTTCTTGCCACATTTGTTAAGTGAACCACTGCAGTTGTTAAATTAGAAACATGGTTGGTAAGTGAATCTGGCTTCCCCATTGACTTTGTTTGTCAGAAGGTCACAAAAAATAATTACATGACTCTGGGGATGCTGCAATTGTCATAAGTGTGAAAAATGGTCCTAAGTCATTTTTTCAGTGTTGTTGTAACTTCGGTCATTAAATGACTACCTGTATTCTGTGCCTCAAACAAACAAACAAAAAAAGCTGCCCTTAGATTTTTGTTTTATGTTTTTTAGCTTGTTCCGTTTGGGCTTGTTTTCCTAATCCACCATGTGAAGCCTCTGCTTCATTACGCTTATGGACAGAAACAGCCTTGCTTGTTGCAAGTTAAGGTTCTTTTTTTCCTCCAGGGATCTCTTTAGTACTGGATAGATTCAGCTCCTCCCTATCTACATTTCTACTTAGTGCTGGGCAAGCAAATGTGATTGCTGCTGGCAAGACAAAGTCCACTGATCTAGCCTCACCTCTCAAGGAACATAATGTAAAGCCTGGGTTTGCGTAAAAAGCTAAATAAAAAATGTAATAAACTACTGTATGGTGAATGTTTTGAAAGAATTTAGTCCACTGTGATTTATGTAGTTATCCTAGGTAAACAAAATACAGTTTGGCACATTTATAAACATAGCATAGAGCGAGCTTACCTCCCATCATTCCTTGTCAGGTGGCATGACATATAGGCTGGACTTGAACAAAACACTACTCTAAAATGCATTTGTCTATTGGTATGAACCCAGACCAAGTAACAGCTTATTTTCAGGTGGTCTACAAATGCAGGCTATTTAGTAAGCCATAATTCTATAATAAACAAACATATTGTAGAATCACATGGGTACTTATCTCACGGTTTTTTCTAGACTTCAAAAAGATTGGAAATGGAATAATCACTCTACCCCATGGTTTTTTAAACAATAGGATTCACATGAAATAGTAAACATCAACAATTAAAACAATTTTGACTTTGCATACTTTGCAGACACACCCCTTATAGTGTTTTGGTGTTAGCTGCTATAAAAGGCAAAGAGAGTAAAATAGTGGTTGGATTTGTTTAATAATAATTTATTAAATCTCAGAATAGATATTTGGACACTTAGCATGCCCAACATACTAAACTGTAAACCGTGATTTTACAAAGCCTAATCATTGAGTTAACTCATGCCACCAATCCATACTGTGATTTGTCTGATTCTGACCTAGAATGTCATATAAATCTACTGGTAGTTTTGTGGTTTTCAAACCATCCTTTAAGGCTTACCATTGTGGCACAGGACTACTCAAGCTTGTTCAATAATTTATCATTAAAGTAAATGATGACTTTCACAAATCCAGCAAATGTGGGGTGACCTTCTACATCTTATCTCTTGCAGTAACTAAGCACTCAGATATCAGCACAGCCACAGAAGCATTAAGACCGGACTCCCAATATTGTAAAGCTAGAACCAGAAACAGTTTTGGGGCTTTAACCCAACCTAACAGGGAACAATTTTCACTTCCCTCCGTGAGACAATTATCTCCAAGTTCAAGAAACTAAAAACTGTTCTGTGAGAGCGTTTACTTATGTTAATAATGTTATATCATTTTGACTTTACACAGTAAATGAACTTAATCATTGTGATTGACTCAATAAACATGATGAAACAAACATGATTTAGTAAGAAGTGTAAACCCATTCACTGTTTTATTCAGCAAAGCTTTAGGAAAATATTTGTGACAATGAAAAGCAATAAATGTATACCTTAATGCAGCTTAATAAACTTGATTACACTGATCAAGTTTATGAAAAAAGGATGTGCGTTGCATCTTACTATGAAAAAGCAATCTTTTTCTTTTGACTTTCTGACTCGGTTTAGAAATTGCAAGCCTCCCCCCCCCCCAAATGTGGTGTTTTAACTTAGCAAACTGTATAATTCTAGCCATAGTTTACAGCTAGCATTACGCCCCTTATACTAATGCAACTTTCCCCAAAAGCAACTTACATCCGTTGACTGTTCCTTTGGAATAAATTTCTTGGTCTCCTTTTCACGGTGGCTGAGTGTTTCCTCTCGATTGCACTTGCCACTCAATTGCTTGTCAGTTTTATCTCTCTGCTCGAGGCCTACCGGAATGCTCCCATCTGTATCAGATGAATCCAGCTCTTTTTCTAGCTCCTCCATCTCTTCTGGAGACAAAGTGGATAATAAGTTGTCAATATCTGGATCTTCACTGACTTGCCGTCGGTATTTTGCTACTCTAGACATCTTGGCAGGTTGCAAGAGTACACTCTGTATATGTGTATCTATATGTATTTGTGTATATATTAAAAAGCAAGCTTAAAAAAACAGTTGGGATTTCTGCAAAACCAGGTTCTTTTTTCTGGTACTGTAGAGGTGTTGAAATGTTATATGTAAGAAACCAAACCCCCTTTACAGCTTGGATTATAATGATTTATGCAGATGTAGAGAAACTGGCCAATGAAAAGTGACAACAGTTCAGCCAAGCAGAGGAAAGCCAATCATACAAGACAGGAGGTGGAGCTGATATCCATCAGAGGAGTTTGAAACTTGAGGACATTCCAGGGAATCTTGAAGTGCTGCATGACCAAATTTAGTCTTGAACTTTTAGGTTTTTAAAGGCAATGAAAGAGAAACTTGCACATTTTCTAAAAAGAAAAGCAAAACAAAATTCCCTAAGCTGCTGGCTCGCTGCATGGATGCAGAAATGAAAACAAAATCTTTAAGTATGTCAACTGCTCACAGATCTACAAACAAATGCATCTCCTTGTTGGCATGCAGTGTCTTATTTCACTTCTCTCAATAATATGTACAATAAGAATATGCCTGAAGCTTTCTTAATTTAATGATAATTTAATTTAATGTTGAAAGCAGCATATCTCCTACTTTTCCATTGAAAATACAGGAGTTTTCAATTTGATATTTCTTTGGAATCTTAACACAAAATGAATTATAGTTATTATTATGGTACAGCACACTTCCAATGCATAGGTCATTAAAGAAGTCCCCAACTCTCATCAACATGCAGTTAAAATCTAGCTAGAAAGCCCATCAGATTTTCTTTTGAATACATTTGCATAGAGTTGGATTGCCTATCTACAATTGCTAGTAAGTGGAGACCTGAGTATAATAGGATGTATCTTCCATTCTAATCTGGGAGATTTTCAGTAAAAAGTTTAGATCTTTCAGTCCTTCTCTGAAGTATCCTCTGAAGATGTTACATTGCTAGCAAAATATAGGGACAGCAGGGATGGTAGTTTCTGAGTAGTTCTGGAACTATTAGTGGAAAGTTTTTATTCCTCAGCTTTTATTTCAAAAACTCACTAAATGCCACAGTAGCATTATTGAAAATTGTCAGGTTTTAAATTAATTTATTTTCACAAAATGATGGTCCACTAAGACAGGGGTGTCAAGCTCGATTTCATTGAATTGAATCATTCGATTCTCTTTCCCTTTCTCCTTTCCCGTCCCTTCTTGCATGCTCAAATGCAAAAGGGGAAACATTTCTCCTTTTGTTTTGTTTTTAGTTTGTTTTGCTAGGCCTATGCCACTGCAGTGCCCTCCCCCCGAGCTCCATTTTCTCTGGCAGAGGGCTGCAGGGGACTGTCACAGCTGAAAATGGAGCCCGGGAGGGCTGCTTTGCTGTTTTCAGGGTGGCCCTGTGGGCCAGATCTAAGCACCCTGTGGACTGGGCCTTGAGTTTGACAACCCTGCACTAAAGTATTGAACAAGTACTCCATTCATGAGCATTCCAGGTTGGGGAATTCTGACCCAAATATTTCATATCTTTTATTATGCAAATAATATGGAGGGTTCGTACCTCGTTCTGCTTTTTCTGTCTCACCTTCTCCATCTTCTTTCACCTGCTTTGTAACGGCTAGCGTTCATGTTGGAAGGTCATATATAGAAATGATGCTGAAAAATTAATGCTTGCTTCATTGTTTGACATTTGCATTAAATTTTATCCAGTTTACTGGTTTCAGCTCTGTTCAACTTCAAAATGAGCTAGCCAATAGCATGTTGGAGAGTATCACCTTGGGGATGGTTGGTTTGCATCATAATTTATTACAGTATGTCTTAATGATATTTGAAAGAAATAATAGGCTGATGTCAAAATAGAAAAATGTAATTCCCAAAATGCTACAGTACTTATATAATCGAAACTGGATTATGTCATTAAGAAACATGATTGAATGAACATATCAAATTAATTATCACTGTATTAATGCATACTTACACTATTTAAAAATGTGTTTTCAAAGTGCACATTACCAGGCCCTGTAAATTTTAGCCCAATCTAATAATTGCCAAAGCAAAAGTCAAAATACATTTTTTTAATCTAGGTTTTTCTCCCATCCCCGAGACCTTTCCTAAACATAATTTTTACAAACAATGCACTCCATCTGCTGGCAGTCACTAATATTACATGACATGTAAAAATGTTATTATATGATGTAAATATAGTGCAATACTTCAACTTTGTGTTACTGTAAATAAAAACCTCACTGGCCTTCAGTCCTCTACTTTTGTTGAACTAGATAGATGTTTGAGGTATGATGTTGTTACTTTGCTTTTAGTTTCAGTATTTGGGGCTTCTTCAACGCAGTGCCAAGAAGGAAATGTGGTAATACAGTTTGTATATTTTCCTGACAAAAACATCAAGAGTCAAGGTAGCAATATTTCCAACTTTTTTTTTATTAAAAGGCATAGGTCTTGAGCAGCAGCTCATTTCATCAGATGCATGAAGTGGCTTGATCGATGTAGGATTTAAATTGGAGTGAAGGGGAAATTGTTAAATAATAAGGTAGATGCAATTCGGCTCACATATAGCCTGCATAACCAACTACAGGTGGTCCTTGACTCACAACAGTTCATTTAGTGATCAAAGTTACAATGGCACTGAAAAAAAGTGAGTTATGACCAGTTTTCACACTTAGGACCATTGCAGCATTCCCATGGTCATGTGATCAAAATTCAGATGCTTCATAACTGATTCATATTTATAACGGTTGCAGTGTCCTGAGGTCATGGGATCCCCTTTTGCGACCTTCTGACAAGCAAAGCCAATGGGGAAGCCAGGTTCACTTAATTACCATGTTATTAACTTAACTGCAGTGATTCATTTAACAACTGTGGCAAGAAAGGTCGTAAAATGGGGCAAAATTCGTTTAATAAATGGTTCGCTTAGCAACAAAAATTTTGGGCTCAATTGTGGTCGTACGTTGAGGACTACCAGTACTTTCCCTTCCCTTCCTCCCTATGTCATCACCATTTAAATCTTAATGAAATTTGTTAATAAGTACTACTACCAGAAGAGATATTAAAGTTTTTTTGCCACCATACACTAACTTGGCTCTCCTTCTACAATGTATAGTCTCGATTCATTTGATATGCATCATCAATCTCCAAAATAAAGCCTTTGTGACAGAGGTAGAAAAATCTGCACACGTCCATGCTCAGGAATGTTCTTTCCCTGGTTCACTCCTTATTTTGGCATGCAAAGGGCAGTCCTATTCAGTCATAAAAGATCCAATTACCGGATGCTAGGATCTCTCTCCAACACAAGAGACCACTCTTCAAATGTCATTACTGTACTGTACATTTCTCACCTCTTGCTTCCTAGATGAAGTTTCAGTGAGGGCTTTTCATTATTCTTGTGACGGGATAAAAAGGCTATCTCAGCAAAGCAAACATGGCCATATTTGGGATATTTAGTAGTCTCGGGCTGGTCTAATTCACATGTGCAAATAGGCAGGGATCAGAGGCAGCAGAGGGACATGGGGAAAACCATGTGCCAAGGGGCAAAAAGAGGCAGAAGGTAGAATTTGCAGCTTTATAATTTTTCCATCTTAAGCTTTTCTTTAGACACTGCACCGTTAACAGCGCAGATATACCAGTGTTCCTTTAGTGCAACACCTTTATCTGTGTGCTGGAGATTATGTAGTTATTAAGTAGTGTCCATCTATAAGTCATGTCCATCTCTTTGTGACTCAAAGGACCAAAGTACGCCAGGCTCCCTTATTTTCCACTGTCTCCCGGAGTTTACCCAATTATCCATGTGGTACACAATCACACATGTCCTTTTTTTACCGAGGATTTTGACCAAGCACAATCATCTTATTTTCTTTTCTTTTTTTAGCAGCAACCCTAGGCCCGTGATGGCAAACCTATAGCACGGGTGCCACAGGTGGCACACAGAGCCATATCTGTGGGCACATAAGCATTGCCCTACCTCAGTCCAGCACGCATGTGCGCACTGGCCAACTGATTTTCGGGCCTTCCAGGCCAACCGGAAGTCGGGAAATGGGCTGTTTCTGGGCCTCCAGGGGAGTGGGGAAGGCTGTTTTCAGCCTCCGCAGGCTCCTAGAAAGGCTCTGGAGCCTGCGGAGGGCAAAAAAATTGGGCCTACCGGGCCCACCGTGCCAAAAGCGGGGGGAGAGCAGGGGGGGTCACGGGCACATGCGTGGGGGGACGGGGCACATTGAATTATGGGTGTGGGCACACGCGCATGCAATCCCTATTACCCCCGCTTTTGGCACACGACAGCAAAAAGGTTAGCTATCACTGCCCTAGGCCAAGGATGGGCAAATGTGATTCTTTTACAACCTGTGGACTTCAACTCCCAGAATTCCTGAGCCAGCTTGGCTGTCTCAGGAATTCTGGGAGTTGAAGTCCACAGGTTGTAAAAGAGCCACATTTGCCCACCCCTGCCCTAGGCCATTCAGATGAATGTACAAGTACTGTGCAGTAAAAAGAACTTAACCCTTTCGCACGGGAGCCAGAGAGTCAGGAAATGGTAAGGAAACGTCATTTAAGCTCCCGATAAAAACTATTCGACCTTGACTTTTTGGTCCCTTTCGTTTTATCCTCAGCATGCCCGTCGTCAAAATTGAAAGCATCCGTCGAATCGAGTATACCGAATCGATCCAAGCAGATCGTTTAACAGCGAGTTATTCTTTTGCTTTCTTACGGGACCCCTGGTGCTAGAAAACGTTTAGGCACTGCCTCCGCCCGCCCTCCTCCCTTCATTTATAGCACAGAGATCCCAAACTAATTTTCCTCCTCCAGAATTTTCCTTCGGCCCGGCGTCCCTCATGCAATCGGAGGGCAACACGTGAGCCGCCGTTAAGCTCCGGAACCGGGCCTCGTTAGTAGAGCCGGCCCCCTTCAGGACTGGCAGCCAATGGCTGCGCCTGGCGTCGCCGGGCCTCGAAAGCCGCCTGATTCACAAGCCGGCAACCGTCTGACTCTGCGCGTCACGCCGCGGTGTGGAAACCGGGACGAAGATGGAGGAATACGCGCGAGAGCCTTGGTAAGCAATGGCCGTGGCTGTGGCCGTTGCGCCGGCCTCTCCCTGCCTGTTGTTTTTTTTCCCCTCCCGAGCGGCAGCCGGCTCCGTCCTTAATGGGGGCGCCTGGAGACCCGCGTCCTTGTCCTTTCTCCAGCCGGTCACCTTGGGCGAATCAGCTGTTCGTTCCTCATAGAGGGCAAAGGACTCGGAGGTATCCTCGGGGCGGGGGCGCCTTGCAGTCCTCGCGGCTCCTTTTAAAAGTGGATGCTTCTTTTAAGGGTGGCCGGAACCCGGCGGCCTTTGACCGAGAAGCGACTCCTAGCCACGAGAAGGCACGTGGAATGACATGGCTGCGCGCGGCTTTGTTAGATTGGACGTGCCCTGAGGGACTCCTTGCCGGTTTGGCAAACGGGTCGTCTTGAAAATAGCCCAATTTCTACTCCCATCTTCTGTGGGAGGTAGGAGAGTCTGCGGCAGCCAGCTGGCTGGGAAATTCTGGGAGTTGAAGTCCACACATCGTCCAGCGGCCAAGGTTGAGCAACACTGGTCTGCGGGCTTTAGGTGCTGTAGAATTACTGTACAGTTCCCAGCAGCTAACCAACCCCATCAATGCAGCACTATTTGATCAGTTCAGTTCCCAGTAGCTAGCCAAAGGGTCTTGTAAATGGTAACTCAGCGCCATATGTACAATAGAGCAAGGGGTCTCTAATCTTTCGGACCTCAGGGACCACTAAATTCGTAATTTTAAATCCCGCGCGGACCACTAGTGTGGATCTGCCTAATGACTGGCTGGGTGGGCGTGGCCAGGTGATCATGTGACTGGGTGGGCGTGGCCAACTCGATGTCACTCATGTTGAGGGGCGCCTCGCCAGCCTCTACTCACTCCTCGCCTGCCCACCCGGGCTCCTTAGGGCCCCAACAAGAAGCAGTTGTTGGACCTAAGCAGCCACCACAAGAAAGAGTTGGCAAAACAGCTGGCTCAGTTCAAATTGGATCTGACTGAGGAGGCTCAGCAGAAGCGCCTCACTGGGACTACGAGCATAGGCTTTCCAAGCAGAGGGAAGACCTGCGGGAGTGCAAGGCCAGGTACCGGTGCCTGGAGGTTCAGCGGGCTGAGATGGTCAGCCAGTTCCAGGCCATGATGCAGTCCCATTGGAACAAGGCTCTCCGGCTCTTTGTCACCAGGGGCTCTTCCCTCCAGCCTTCACCCAAAGGCCCGCACCAGGAGGCTGAAGCAGACCCCAAGTCAGAATTTCTGTCCCCCTCCGACCCGCACAAAAAGACCCCGAAGGGGGAGACTCTCTGCAGCAACACAAACGTTCATTGTAGTTTGAGGATCCCTGATTTAATGCAATATAAAAAATGCAAATAATTTTCCTGCGGACCACCAAAATTTTCTCGTGGACCACCAGTTGGTGACCGCTGCAGTAGAGGGTACCCCCATCTCTGCTATTAATGATTACACAGTATTGCCAGAATATTTAATTGGAGACATATACGGTAGTTTCCTATCATCATACATTGATAAATCAAAAATATCAATGGCCTTTATTAGGGCATGTTGCAATGCTCTCCCTTCAGCACTGTTACAGCGCAGATACTACAGTGTTCCTTTAGCGCATCATCTTTGTGTGGTGGTGGTTGTGCAAGTCACTGTCCGGTTCTTCATGACTCCATGGACCATAGCACTCCAGGCTCCCCTATTCTCCATTGTCTCCCGGAGCTTTTCCAAATATTTGTGTGGTATAGAAGTTCAATCAATCACACATGTCTTTTAATACTGTAGAATAGATGTTATTTGATAAAACACGATAATCTTATTTTCTTTTCTTTTTTTTTTTACCAGCAGTCCTAGGCCTTTCAGATGATTTGTATGTTGATTTCTTTCTTCTGACAAGATGTTTTATGCAACATATAATGTTGCAAGGTTTTGTTACCTAGACTCAAGACTGTAGTAGAGGGTCCACAATGAAAAATAACTTTGAAACATATACTGTATTTGTCTGTTGGTTTTTGTTTTGATTTTTTGAGGTTGTGTATTTTTAGCAAGCTAATGGACATAATACATTGAAGCTGAAGTATCTGAGGAATTGTTTGCTGTGATCAAGTTACAAGATTTATATATATATATATATGTATATTTAGCCCCTGGAGAATAGTGGATGATTGTGGTGGAGCTTTCACAATGGGAGCCATTGGCGGAGGCATCTTTCAAGCCATCAAAGGATTCAGAAATTCCCCAGTGGTAAGTTAATTTCTAGAGGCAAGTTTATGATTTCTTTTTCTATAGTATTTAAATACAGAGTTTTGGAAATAATTCGGTGAAAATAATTTTTTATATTTTAAATTTATAAAATTATATATGTTATATTTAGAATAGAATAGAATAACAGAGTTGGAAGGGACCTTGGAGGTCTTCTAATCCAACCCCCTGCCCAGGCAGAAAACCCTACACCTCTTCAGACAAATGGTTATCCAACATCATCTTAAAAATTTCCAGTGTTGGAGCATTCGCAACTTCTGCAGGCAAGTTGTTCCACTTACTAATTGTTCTAACTGTCAGGAAATTTCTCCTTAGTTCTAAATTGCTTCTCTCCTTGATTAGTTTCCACCCATTGCTTCTTGTTCTACCCTCAAATGCTTTGAAGAATAGTTTGACTCCCTCTTCTTTGTGGCAACCCCTGAGATATTGGAACACTGCTATCATGTCTCCCTAGTCCTTCTCTTCATTAAACTAGGCATACTCAGTTCCTGGAACCGTTCTTCATATGTTTTAGCCTCCAGTCCCCTAATCATCTTTGTTGCTCTTCTCTGCACTCTTTCTAGAGTCTCAACATCTTTTTTACATCGTGGCGACCAAAACTGAATGCAATATTCCAAGTGTGGCCTCACCAAGGCATTATAAAGTGGTATTAACACTTCACGTGATCTTGATTCTATCCCTCTGTTTATGCAGCCCAGAACTGTGTTGGCTTTTTTGGCAGCTGCTGCACACTGCTGGCTCATATCTAAATGGTTGTCCACTAGGACTCCAAGATCCCTCTCACAGTTACTACTATTGAACAAGGTACCACTTATACGGTACCTGTGCATTTTGTTTTTCTGTAGAACCTTGCTTTTTTCACTGTTGAATTTCATTTTGTTAGATAGCGCCCAATGTTCAAGTCTGTCAAGATCCTTCTGTATCTTGAGCCTATCTTCTGGAGTGTTGGCTATTCCTTCCAGCTCATCTGCAAATTTGATGAGTTCCCCATCTATCCCCTCGTCCAAGTCATTGATGAAGATGTTGAAGAGCACTGGGCCTAAAACAGAGCCCTGGGGTACTCCACTGCATACTTCCCTCCATGTAGATGCAGTTCCATTGAGGACTACACGTTGAGTGTGGTTGGTCAGCCAGTTATGAATCCATCGTAACGAATCCACTGTAACATCATAAATTTATTTATATATAAAACATGAAGCACATTTTAAAAAATGCCTATTTCTCTGAAATAATAAAATCATATAATTGTGGAAGGATCCACAAGTATCATGTAACCCAACTCTCTGCAGTGTGCAGGAAAATCAATTAACCCACACTTGAGAAGTGGCTGCTCAGCTTCTTCTTAAAAACCTCCAGGGATGAAGAATGTTATCTTTATTTTTATTTATTTATTAAACAAACAAGCACATATAGCCATTCATCTATCAGAAACAACTTTGGGCAGCAAACAAGAATCAAAACCACAATATAATTAAAACAAAATAACCAGTTAAAACAGGTCCCATAAAACTTATATCCATCAAACATGCTATCTTGCAAAGATCTGTCTCCTCTCTGCCGCAGTTTTGCGGTTTCTTTGTCTTTGAGAGAGAGAGAGAGGAGAGCAGGATGATTTCCACCCTACAGTTCAGCTTGCAAATGCTTTTCATGCCGAGAGTGAGAGGTTCTGGGGGCCATGATCTTGCGTGACTTCAGGCACCCATGCTCTGCAAAAGTGGATGGGTGCCTGAAATTGTGCAAGATCACATGTAGCTAAAACAAATTGGTAGCCTGTCTAATATACGTACTTTACAAAAAGTCAGATATGGGTTAAAAATACAAAGTAAAAGAAAAAACCCTTTTTACTTTTGGGAGAGCTCTTTACAGCTGTTGCTGCCTGTCTCAGCATGGTGATGAGTAGAATTTTAGCTTAGCATTATCAGTCTCAGGATCATAGATTAAACTCTATAGATTGTAAATTGAATAAAAACCTTTGGTATTACTCTTAATAGTGTATTTTTACCTTTTCCAGGGTGTAAATTACCGGTTGCGGGGTAGTTTGACAGCTATTAAAACCAGAGCACCTCAGCTGGGAGGTAATTATTGTTGTATATTATTATTCTCTGTTTTAAAAAGTGATAACATTTCTTGATGGACATGATCTTTACTTTTCTTTTCTGAAGAAGGGGCTACTATAGCTGTGCCATTATCTGCTCTGTGCTTTTGACAATGGAAAGAAGAGAACAAAAGTCTATTTTAAATCAGGAAAAGATAACACTCATATTACATTTGTCAATATATTTTTTACTTGAGCGTTTCCTTCCTAGGTGGAGAAGGAAGACCACCTTTTTCAAGTGCCCTGTCTACCTAAGCAGGGAGAAAAGAACACTTGATAATTATCTTTCAAGATTCAAGATATGAGAAACTTTTTTTGCCTGGCTAGAAAGTAGATTTCTTCTTTCCTGTCTAAGTAAGGACATAAAGTTATTTAGAAGCATAGATCAATACTTTCAACAAGCATATACATTTGTGATAAAATATGTCTGTGTTCAATTCCAATGACAGAACAAAATAGTTATCTTAAAATAGAGTAAAAGAGAGTAAATTGTTGTCATTTAATGTATGAACTGAGAACTAGCTTGGCCTAGAGATTAAGGCCTGGGCCAGGAGTGGTGAGGCCTGAGTTCTAAATGTGTCGTGGGTACAAAAGCCACATGGGTGGTTTTTGAGCCAAATACTCTCAGCCTTTTGGGGGGGGGGGGGGGCAAGCAATTTCCAGAAACTACATGGTCTTGTCCATATAATCCAGAGTGAAGAAGAAAGAAGGGGGAGAAGTATCTTATTTATTAAGCGAACTGCTTTGAAAAATTAAGGAGATGCAGAATTTAATCAAATGTTCTTATCTTTTGGAATATCCCTAAGGAACTTTGGTTGGCGTTAATTATACTTCCTTTTTGTGTTAAATTCTTGAATATTTGACATGTTTGTTCATAACCATAGATTTTTTAAAAAATTTTATTTATATGCCGCCCTTCTCTGGACACTCAGGGCAGCTTACAATGCGTTAAGCAATAGCCTTCATACTTTTGTATATTTATACAAAGTCAGCTTATTGCCCCCACAAACTGGGTCCTCAATTTACCTACGTTAGAAAGGATGGAAGGCTGAGTCAACCTTGAGCCTGGCAAGATTCGAACTTACTAATTGCAGACAGCTGGAGTTAAATTACAATGCATTAGTCTGCTGAGCTATTTTGTTTCTTTTTGAACTTAAGATAAACATTTCTCTAGCTTCTTTTGCTAGGATCCAAATTTAAAAATGACCACTAAAACTTTGGTTATAAATTTTGAATTATTTTTCATTCAAATAGGTAGCTTTGCTATCTGGGGTGGCCTCTTCTCCATGATCGACTGCAGCCTGGTGAAAGCAAGAGGAAAAGAAGATCCCTGGAATTCTATTTCCAGTGGTGCTTTAACAGGGGCCATTTTAGCTTCAAGAAGTAAGGACTATTGTAGAGATACTACCTACGAACATTTTTAAAACTTTCTGACAGATGATTAAAATGTATAACGAGGCTTTATCAATGCATATTCTATTATTCTTAATTTTTTAACAACATTAGACTTTCTTGAAAGGATGGAGGGAAGTTGTACCTAAAGTTTTGGAGTGATATACATGACCTTTGGGGCTGCAGGTTGTACCCGCCTGCTATATAAAGAATCTACACTTTAATTTTCAATGTTTTTTAGCTTTACATTCCCATTTTCGCCTTTGGAAAGAATGACTGATATCCCTTTCTTCCTTTCTAGTCTCCTCTGGGTTTATTTTATTACTATTTTTATTCTTTTGTCCCATTATGTTTTTGTGTTTTGTATTGTTCTTTGTTTTTAAATAACAGATAACAGTAACAGAGTTGGAAGGGACCTTGGAGGTCATCTAGTCCAACCCCCTGCTCACGCAGGAGACCTATACTAGGGATTCGAACTGCTGAACTGCCGACCTTTCTGGTCGACAAGCTCAGTGTCTTAGCCACTGAGCCACCTAGCCAGACATAAATGTTTAACAATTACAAAGTGCTGAAAGCTGGATGGTTATTAATTGAATTATTATCTCTTTTATTCATTAAACATGAAACTCAGTCAACTGAACATTTAAAAATATGTCACAAATACGATTGACTGGTGCTAATGATTGATACAGGTTGCTGTCAGTGTCCTAGGTATCAAATAATAATAATAATAATAATAATAATAATAATAATAATAATAATAATTAGATTGACATTTCCAACATAACATGTAATCTGATGTATTATTATAGAATGATTTTTAAAGATTATTCTACTCCTTTTTTTTAATCCCTTTTATTAGATGGACCAATTGCCATGGTTGGATCTGCAGCTATGGGGGGAATTCTTCTAGCTTTAATTGAAGGAGCAGGTATCCTGTTAACAAGATTTGCATCTGCTCAATTTCCAAATGGTAAGACAATTGCTTAGTTTCATATGCTGTAAAATCTGATATTTAATTCTCTCACTGAAAAACAATTTTACTTCTTTTAAAAGTTCCATTAAATATTATGGGAGTTATTTTCACTGCAATAAATTTGAAAGCATTCAAACTAAAACATTTGTGGATACTTAAAATTATCTGCAAACTTTTAATACTTTCACAAAACAGGCATCAAAAATTGTGTAGTAGTGGTTTCATAGAGTTGCCAATTTTAGTTCCATACACATGACAGTAGTTTCTTAACTGTTGGTGCCTTCCCAATTGCATGTTAGTATGATACAATCATACCCTAAGAACTCCAACTTTCTCCCTTGACCCTAATGGAAACATTCAGGGCAGCAATATACTGCAGAGTGATAAACAATTGCTGTTTTTTTTTAATTGCAGGTCCTCAGCTTTCTGAAGACCCATCTCAGTTACAAGCCTCTCCCTTTGGAGACTACAGGCAGTACCAATGATTTCTCCTGTTTCTGTTGAACTTTAAAGTTTTACCTTTAAAAGGAGAAGCAAAATGCAGCCTCATTTGAAGACTTTTCATCGGATGTGTACATGTAGATGTTACTGTATTTTTCACAATATTTAAAGGATTATGAATAGAAATTATCACTGTAAAATAAATATGAAATGCCTGCAAACTCCATAGATATTCCTTATCTTAAGGATCAAGCAACATATGGATCTGTGGCCTTTTTCAGTGTAATACAGATTATATCACTGGGGATATAACCACCATGTAATATGAAAACTTACAGAATGCACTAGCAGAATATGTGCTGGTAACAGACATCTGCAGTGAGCTGCTTCGTGTTTCCTTCCAGGTAATCAGAAAGAGGTACAAAGTAAAGAAGAAATATTTAATTTCCTTTCAATTTTCTTGTAAAGTTAATATAACTCTCCATAGTGAGAATAAAATATTAAGGGAGATCATAATAGTTCTTTACTGAATATTTAAAAGGATATATTATGTTGGCAAAAGATTCAAGGACTATTTTTGGCAAGAAATCTGTTTTTTTTTCTTGAGCTTTTTTAATCTTTGGAAAATAAGTCTTATATGCTGTTCATGTCACAGTGGATGAAATGTTTGTGATCAGATGGTGTACTTTGCATGTCTAAAGTTCCTTACCCTATCTGCACAACAACACGATTGTCCTTCATAACAGTCTTATCTGAAGCTTGTGTGTTTTCAACTGTTGTCTGTTTTAAATGAATTTACTATTTTTTCCCAAGTAATTATACAAAGAATAGAAATATATTACCTGTTTTAGACTAAACATGAGAATGAAGTATTGCTTTAACAAGACAAAATGCTGTATGAACTTGTTAACTAGTTTGGAAAAAAAGAATAGAGTTAGGGATGTGCAGCGTTTCACACGCCAAGGGAAAAACATGATTCGGAATGCCTGGGGGGTGTTCATATAGCATCTGTTGGCAATTTGTTAAAGCAGCCATGTCTTCCTAAGATTGCATGCCTATCCTCCATAATGGTAGCATGATGTTGAGAAAAGACTTACGTGGTCTGGAGTTGCTACATGCATACCCAATGCACACTAAAATAACTTTATTCCTAGTAATCTAAAGCAGGGGTCCCCAACCTGTCAGGATCTGGGTCGCACAAGTGGTGCGCAAGCGAGCAAAGTTTTGTGTGCACGTGTGGGATCTAGGTTGCACGTGAAACCATCCCTTTCCCACCCGCCCACCCCTGGTCCGTGGAACAATTATTCTTCCATGAAACCAATCTTTCTGGTGCCAGAAAGATTGTGGACCGCTGATCTAAAGCACTGAACAGCCTTATTATAGATCTTATTTATGTGTTATTAGTTACAAAAAATCTGGCAACACAGAATAGTCTTTCTGAAGCTAAAATTAAATTACTACCCTCCAAGGGCATCTGTGTTTTATTGTTACATTTTAAAATGCATCTTCTGTACGAATTCATACATGTATCAACTTTCTGTGCTTTTTGCATTGTCTTGAAGTAGTCAACCGTGGCTGGGCTGCACCATTTCAGATAAGCATTTAATTATACAAAGATAATTTATCTTAATAGAGAAGACAGAGCTTAAATTCATTCTTCATGTGGAAAAATTTGAAGTCTTGAGAGTTCCTATCTGTACTCTAAAGTAGTACAGCCCCAGGATTGTTGTCATTTTAAATAAGAATTGAATTTACTGTCTTGCATGGACAATTACATGTCAATAGCACAATGGGATTCAATAATACTGAAGATTTTTAGATAAAACTATTCTAAGAAGTTAGCTCTAATAAATTCACAATTATCAAATTATTTGGGTTTTTATGTGTGTTCTATCCTTGCAAATTTCTACTTAAATTAGGCCACAATTGAGATACACGATGAGACATTGAATGTTTTTGAATGTTCCAGTATTCCTCACGCTTTATGACTTCATAGAACAGGATGAACAAAAAGATCCCACAAAAGTTCCTAAAATCAGACCAGATTGTATTGCCATGTCTTGTGTACTGTGCAGTACACAAGTTGATCACTTCAGATGCATTTGATCAATGGCACAAAAAGAAGCTTTTCCTTCACCCTGCTTTCTAGCTGATTTAATCTTTTTTCCTCCCCAAATGATGATGATGGTGATTATGCAATCTCTTCTGAGGCTGTCAATTGATGCTTAGTCCCTGCAAGTGTAATCAACCACTCTGGCAGTTGCTCTGAGACAACTTTATGGTTAATCATAGAACCATAGAGTTCTCTAGAACTAACAGAACTGGCCTGCAAGTGTTGGCAGCTGCTCTGAGCCCTAGTTGGAGCATAGAGTCCTCAGAGCAACTGCCAGAATGGCTCCTAACATCTCAGGGTTTGAGCAGTGGTGTTAGCAACTTCACTATAAACAATGGTGACAACGGCAGTGGTAGGAGGGTAAGGGGGCAAGCAGCAAGAGAGGGAGAATCATGGAAAATCACAAGACAGACCTCTGAAGGCTATATTTGAATTGTAGGTAGTCCCCAACAATGAATATGTGCTAACTCTGTAAGCAGCTGACTCTGTAAACTGCTTGTGGAAGGTTGTAAAGCACTGTGAAGCGATATATATAAATGCTATAGTGCTATATTAATCCATGGTTAATCAGGGTTTTGAATTCACCCAATTTTTTCATATTGTCAGGGTACACTGAACCACAATATGTCTGCCAACAGTCTTAGTTTGGTTGAAACAGCAATAATGTTTGTTAGAAAATGCCCTAAATGCCTGAAAATGATGCCCTGTTCAATTTAGGCTGGTGCTGTCATCCCAAATAACTTCTGAGATGGAGCTGCGTTATGTTATCATGAAGAATGAAATGGTGCTGTCTTTGCATCTTCCTCAACCGAACCAATGCAGCAACACTCATCCTTTGTCTCCAGTCCATCTCCTTGATGTCTATATCGCTGCTTGCACCAGTACTTTTACTAATGAAATTAGGAAGTTCAGAGAAAAGAGAAATGAACAGAACTTGGAATATAGGAGTCAACAGCAAAAAATGCTATGTGCCAGAAAGAGAGAGAGAAGGCAAATGGCTTTCCCTAGGCAGTGTTTTATTCCCAGGCAGAATTTTTGACACACGAGATTTTTTTCCCTACAGTCTGATTAGATGTACAATCCTTGCTTATTGAAAACATTATTGTTAAAATAACTACTATGCTGACATCAATATCTAACCACAAACATCACAAAACTAAATTCATTTCCTCACACTCTGCAGTTAAAAAGGCCACCTGGGAAAGGAAACATGCCTTTTTGTAAAACGTGCTTGATTCTCTACTAGACTCCACATTATAAAGGGAATAGAGAAAATTAAGCATAGGATAAACGCAATAAGTAAACTTTTTAGTAAATGCTTACAAACTAAAACCCTCAAGAGAACTGATGAGCTTTCTGCCAGTAGAGATAAGTAAATGCAGCACTACTTTTCCAGTCCCCACCCTACCACAATTTGTTATGTGCAGTTAGCTCTCATTCTTTGGGTAGTCTACATTCTGGTCTGGGTTTAGGGGAAGAATGTTCTCATGCATGTAAATTATGTTTATTTTATTTTGGTGGATCAATGCTTTTCAGGCTTGAGAGACAGAATGCCACTGGGGTGAAGGGAACAATGGCAATAATAACAAGCAAATAAATAGAATTTTGTATATCTCTTTCTCTTATTGTGAATATTGATAAACATGGTACTAATGATACAGCTTTTGACAACATACTAAGCTATAATGTGATTAGTTAAGCTATTATTCAGAGTCATCTAAACAGTGATTACATAGATTATTTTTTTTCAAATAGCAATAAGTATACACTTACTGTATACACTTACTCTGCTTATCAAACAAATACCTATTTACAAATGAATCAGAAATGTTGCTATTATGATCCCATAACAGTTTTATCTACCTCCCCACCGCCAATTAACACTGAATATATTTGCTCTTTCATATTGGAACATTTACATATCTAAACAGAACATATCACCTAGGTCTTAAGAGGTACTGTACGATGACAATTTGTTAGCAATTTTTTCTTACCTGTTTTATTTCCATTTAGTTTTTAAAAAAAATAATTTTAAAATGAGAAAGAAAATACCAACTTCAAATACACCTGCATTTCCAACAATTCCTCTGGGTGCCACATGGACTCCAGAGGCATCAATAAGTAGTTACCCAATGCTTTGTTTGCTTTTGGTTTCCAGCTCTTTTGTAACTGACCACAGCCACCATGACTACCATTTTGTGAGAGTGTCCATTACCTGCTTTAAAAATTTCAGATGAGTCTCTCTCTCTCTCTCTGCATCAAAAAAGTTGGAGAACCTTAACATTCCCTATAACAGAATGTTATAACAGGCCTATATCTGTTTTTATCCTCCCTGATCATAACATTTTCTATTTTTCAATCATTACATTTCCTTCTACATACGTCCATCAATAATTTTATATTTGAAGCTTCTGATTCCTTTAAAAAAAAGAATTAGACTTTCTCTACAAGTTTACACTTCCAAGTACTTAAATTTACCATTGTTCTATTTAACTGCAACATAATTCAAGCCAATAATAACTTCATATTCTTACTTTATACTGTTTTGACCCAGAAAATGAGTAAATAGTCTGCAAAACTGTTTTCCAGGATATTCCATAGTATGTATAGTATATAAAAGAGTCAGCTGGCTGCATTCAGTAAAGTGGTTAACTTTTTAATGATAATTTTAGTAAATGTTACAATTAAAGAATACAAAGTAAAAAAATAAAATAATAAAAAGAGAAAGTGCAGGAAAGGAAAGTAAGAGAAAGAAAATAAATATTTAAAGAACTGGCTTCTCAGTTATATGCAGTATAAACAATTTTTGTAATTTATACCTTCTCTTAAAAGGCAACAAAAGATTTCTTCTTTCTGTAGCTCATCATATCTTATCTACAAACCCTTAAAGCTTGGTCATTCAGTCCTGGTGAACAAAAGCCCATTAAGGCGGGGTGTCAAACTTGCATCAGCATGACGGCATCACGTGACGTATCTGAACCCTTTGCTAGCCTGGGCGGGTCATGGCCAGCACGCGACGCATGCGGGCTGCGAATTTGACAGCCCTGCATTAAGGGTTGCTAGAGATAACAACATACCTATTTTAACTTTGATCAAATAAACTATTTCATTTTGAACAATCTTGATCCTTAATCCCCTCAAATAATGTCTTAAAACTTTTTTTTTTTTAATTTGATTTATATGCCGCCCTTCTCCGGAGACTCAGGGCGGCTTACAATGCGCTAAGCAATAGCCTTCATACTTTTGTATATTTATACAAAGTCAGCTTACTGCCCCCACAAACTGGGTCCTCATTTAACCTACCTTAGAAAGGATGGAAGGCTGAGTCAACCTTGAGCCTGGTAAGATTCGAACCTGCAGAAATTGCAGGCAGCTGTGTTAATAACAGGGTGCATTAAACCACTGTTCTACCAAGGCTCTTGAAATAAACTTGATTTATTTTCATTTTTTTCTTTGTTTCTTCTCACAAAACTCTTCAAAACTTTAACAAGTCTCCTTTGTAAATTCAATTTGGAAAAGTTATCTAGGTCATTCTTTTGGTTTGTTAATTGAGTATCCTTTTAATTTTTAAGACTTTATCTGGTTTCATTTGTATATCAAGTGTAGCATCTTTTTTTATATAATTCTTGTAGCCTGCCATTTTTAGATCGCTTTCAGATCAATCTTAACCCCGTGTGATAAAACTTCTTCTTCCATAATGACTTTTAAAAACAGCCTATCTATAATGGCAAACACTCTTAAAATTAACTTCTGGATCACAAATATCCATCAGTACACAAAGTGTAAAAGTATTTTGCTCCATTCTGTATTAGTAAGTCAAATTTAAATGTTCTTTTCCTTTAATTGTAACTTCAGTTCCTTCTGGTTCCCTCTAGTGTCCAATCTTCAAAGTCCCATCCTAACATGTTTTTTAAAAGAATTCAAAATAACAGCATTTTCCTGTGGCCAGAATTCTTATAATGAATTTTAAAATCTTATTTCAAAAACATTTGGATTCTTGGTCCCTTTTTAACTTTCCAAAATCAATGTTCTAATCATCCTTTTGCTGTTTATTAAAACAATTTTTTTAAAGTCCTTGTATTTAAAGCCTCTTTTGGTAAGGATTGAAGGAAACTCACCCGTGCCCAATAAAATTTGTCATTCCAATGGTTTCTAATAGCAATAGCAATAGCTCTTAGATTTATATACCACTTCATAGTGCTTACAGCTCTAAGAATTTACAGTGTCAGTATATTGTCCCCAATAATTTGAGTCCTCAGTTTACCGACCTCGGAAGGATGGAAGGCTGAGTCAACCTAGAGCCAGTGAGAATTGAACTGCTGGCAGCCGGCAGTCAGCAGAAGTAGCCTACAGTACTACATTCTAACCTGAGCCAACATGGCTAGATAACTCTAATAGCTGAAAAGCAGTTAATAAGCAATTTAAAAAAAAATAGAAAAGGAAATATATGAACCTGGGGTCATTTTGAAGTCACCAAATGTAGTGAAGATGGTTTTCCTTTGTCTCCCAGAGCTCCAAACGGATGTCTCCTCGCAAGAAGCAACTGTCTGGAGAATTTATGGGTAATTTCAAGTCCTCTCCTTGTCAAAAGAGGAATTACAAAGAGATTTTAACAGAGCCAGAAGTCCCCAGTAAATAACTTAACTTTTCACGTAGCTGTAATATGCTTTTAGAACTGCTGATCTTTATATATCTGTGCCACTATTTACATACAAGATTTGAAGCATACAATAAGCTTCTAAATTGCCCTTGCCCTACAACCATTAGAAACCTTTGCAATCATGAACTACTGTATCTAAAGATATTAGATGTACAGTTTGCCGAAATTTCAGGTAACATATTTAGTTTTCAGAATAGCTAAATACCATCCAATTCAGATAAATGTTAGCCAATTTTAAACAACCAAGATAGTGTTAAACAATCAGAATAGATGTTCAGTTAAGAATGCAGGTTCATTCTGGGAAATTTATGAACAAGGTAAGACTAATATTACCAGTATATATCTGGTTTAAGGCTGAATAATAATAACAACTGTAACTCATTGTCTAATTTAGGTTTGCCATTTGAGTACTGTATTCAGATAAAGGATGATAAGATAAAACTAAGACAAACCCATATTGATCTCTCTCCTTTCTCTCTAGAGATTGTTACTTATTTCTGCCGAAATCCAAACAACTCATATTAGCCTTAAAATGGATACTGTACTTTGCATGAAATACCTGATGTTTTTCTTCTGTGTTCTGGTGTTTGTAAGTATTATAGGACTGTGCTTAAAATAAATCCCCCTTCAAACTTGGTTCATTACCTAAATGAGAACTGCTTAAGCCTCGTGCATCATCTCAGGTGGATGGTCGGTTATCTCATTTGCTAAAATCTGAAATGCTTCCTTATCGGGCAGCGTTCCTCAACCTTTCCGGATTTGTGGACCAGTGGGGATGGGGGATGGGGGATGGGGGAGAGCATGGTTCTGCACAAGTAAATGGAGCTATGCGTGCTTGCTTCTCCCCCACCCCCCCGCTGCTTCTGTGGCCCGGTTCCAAATGAGCCATGGCCCCGGGGTTGGGAACCCTATTGTGTATATACACAGTGGAGAAAAAACAGGTATGCTTATAAATGTTAAAATTCTTATAATGAAATAATGAAATTCAGGAAAACTCTGATAGACTGTACTTCAACATAAGCAATGCCCTACTGGATTAGATCCAGCAATTTGTTGTCATAGATGCCAACCAATTAAAGAAGGAAGGCCCACTAATTCCAAGCAGATAGTCTTCAGAAACAGTCACACGGCCATCAGTGCTAATAAAAACTGATTCCCATGACTCCCATGAATTTCTCCAACCCATTTTTTAAAGGCCAAACTGGTAGCCAACATCATTCTTGTGGAAGCAAATTCCAAAATTACATTGTGTAAAAAAAATTTTTTTGCCCAATTCTTCCAAGATTCAGTTTCATAGGCTTACTGTATGTCTAGTTCTAGTATTTTAAGAGGGGAAAATATTCTTGTCTCCTTTATCCACACCATGTGTACATTTATATGCTCGATCATATCCCCTTTTGGCATTTTACATTTGCTCACATTGAATGATGTCTGCCATTTGTTATTTTTGTCCTGTTATTTTCTGTTTTATGTGTAATTTTATATGTCTAGGACAGAATTCTCAAATATTTAAAATTCTCAATCTGTGTTCTGTAGATCAACATTGGTCTGCAGAAATTCACCTGGTGGTCTACCACAAACTCTTATGAATTCACCAGCAATCTGGAGGAAGTTTGCATGGGACTAGCTAGCCTCTTTGACTAAAGAAAAACAGTAACCTGCCATACAATAGATAATTTCTGGGTTTTTGCTAAAGGAAAATACCTAGATACGTTGAAAAATTGTCTACCTGGAATGGGATCTAGAATTAATATTCTTCCAATACTGCCTTGTCCCTCTGAAATAGAATCTTGCAGCTTTAAATTGCCAAAAGATTTTCCACAGAACGCTGATATGTGAGACTTGGAATGTCTGTTAAAGGTGTGCTTCGGTGTCCAGATGGCAGCCGCATAGACCTCTTGTTAATCTTGCCCAAAATTGTATCCAACTACCCTTGCCTTATGAGCCAGTCTTCCCCTTGGAACTGGATTCCTAAGGGAATACTATTTTCTCATCAGAAAAACTGTTAGCTAAGTTAAACACTGCTAGAATTTTTAAAACAGTATTTATAGAGGACTTTTACATTGAATGGTTATTCTGTGTATTTTTCAGATTGGATCACTCTGCCTTATTATTGTGGCTATCTGGGCAATAATTGACCCTAAAAGAATTCTGGATATCCATCCAAACTATTTCTTAAAAATAGCAGCTTCTATCATCCTCCTTATGGGTCTACTGCTCTCATGGCTGAGCTATTTGGGCATATATGCAACTGTTGCTGAAGATGTAAAGCTGTTGAAGAATGTAAGTGAAGGGAGTTCACTGGTATGAAGACTGAATATTGATGCAAACATACATTACAAGAGATTTGTAAGTTTGGAATTCATATCATGGCTTTGAAACATCATGTGCAATGGCTAAGAATAATGCAGTCCGGTAGTTGTGAGACCTGTGGTTTAATCCTGCATATTTCTACCAGATGCAGCAAAAATTATTACGAGAAAATGAATTTAGGATTAAAGTATATTGTCATTAATAGAGATCTCCTGATTAGGCTGATACATGACATCCAGTTGTAACATTTTGTACAGAAGCATTAGGATTAGATCCTCCCATGCTATGTAGCATATCAGACAGCAAAGTATCTCTAGCAGTTTGTGTCTTCCCATGTGATGCTTTGAGTCCTTAAATCTTCCATGAACATTCTTCAGAATGTATTTTGAGATGTCCTCCTGGTCATTTGGAATTGTGGGTGGTGGGTCCATCTCACTGCCATCTTGGGGATTTGATTGTTCTCCATGAGGAGAATATCACCTGCAAGTTGTAGTTTTTTGTGTATGTATGGAAGAGATGGGCCTAATTCTGCATGTTATTTTCACTTTACAGCTCGTCATAGTGGTCCTGGTGATCTCCATTGTGAAGCTTCTGGTCACTATACTCCTTTATTTCTTTGCAGCAAAGGTAATAATGAGTCAGGGATTAGACCACATATCTGAAATTTCTCATCCTTATTGCTTCCTTTGCTATCCTAAAACCTCCAAAACAGTTCTATTGCTTTAAGAACTCTCTTCATATAAACATGAGCTTTTTTCATGTAGACATATCTTTGAATCAATAGATTCCCACTTGCTAGAGAGGATCATAGGGAAATAGATTGCTTATTGAATTTGTCATACACTGGCCTTGTGGATGAATCTTGAGGAAAAAAATGCCTCTTCTTTGGATTTCTAATGTATAATAACTGGTAAAAGAATATTTAGAAAATATGATTGCTGACATAAAACTTCACATGCTTTGACATCTCTATCATGTCTACTATAACCACTTGAGGTTTTGTACTTGGTAGCGAGATAAATTCTACACTTTTTTTCAGATCCGTGACAAATACCTTGTAAATCAGCTGGCCAAGAAGTATGAGGGAGATGATGGCACTAATGTATACTCTAAAGCTTTAAATGGCTTCATGATCATGGTAATCAAGAATGAGCAATAATTTTATCTTAAGGTCATGAGATTTTGTCAGTCATGTACATTTGCAAAATGGTATATAACCACAATATGTAAAATGAGTGCGACACCTAAATATTATATAAAAGTCTTATATCCAATGCAATATGTTCTCTCAAAAGCCTTAAAATTGAAAGAGGAATTAATATAAATGTTATATTATAATTAATATAAATTCCTTTTACATGTATTTCAGAAAACAAACAAGTATTGGCCATTTCCTTAATTAGATAAATTGAAATCTGTATACTAATTTGAAAGAGATGTAATCAAATTGATCCGTGTTATCATTTAGTTGAACATTTTTGAAGAAACTGGAAAGATTATACAAGAGCTTTTAATATTTAATAAAACTGTAGGTTTAAATCTATTTTCCTAAGGACATACAAATGAGTAACAAAACAAGTTAAATCTTTTTTGTTGTTAGGTCTCAGGTGTAACATAACAAAATAATGAAAAACTAAAGTCTTTCTTTGAATCCATGGTACCCCGTTTCCCCGAAAATAAGACATCTCCTGATAATAAGACCAATTGGGCTTTTGAGCGCATGCGCTAAAAATAAGCCTCCCCCAAAAGTAAGCCCTCCCCAAAAATATTTAAATGCAGAGCTGGAAATCAGGTAAGACGGCAAGAAGAGCCCCATCTTGCTCCACGCATTCCAAAATAATAAGACCTCCCTGAAAATAAGGCCAAGCACTTATTTCGGGGTTCAAAAAAATATAAGACAGTGTACTTGATACTATAATATATAATAATGGCTTAAAAATTAACATAGCACAAAATAATCTTAAAGGATCCTTTAACTGATTCTTAAAACAGAAGGTTTTGCTCATATTTAGTCTCTGTTTTTAAGTTATATCAACAAAAACTTGTAATAGATCACCTCTATTTATAGAAATATATTTTGGATAGAAATACTTTATTTGAAAATATTTCTCTCTTTAAAATTAGATATGTGTGACTATGTGTGTGTATTGGGGTGGGTTTTACTTACCTTTACTACTGGTTCACAACGGGAGCACGCTCTCTTCGCTTGCGTGCACTTCGCTTGCATGCACAGCTTTTGCGCATGAGCAGATCATCAATTATGACATCCGGGGGGGGGGGTGGAATCTCCCGCCGCTTTTACTACTGGTTCTAAAGAACCGGACAGAACTGGGAGCAACTCACCACTGGTGTGTATCCCAACATAGTAGGAGCATTAGAGACTGTGAGGCCTAGGCTGGGAGAGTGGCTCCAACAGATCCCAGGAACAACATCAGAGCTCTCTGCCCTGAAGAGGGCAGTGCTAGGAACAGTTAAGATAATATGCAGAACCCTTAAACTCCCAGGCCTCTGGTAGGGGAATAGAGATTGAGCAGGACACATACGACCCATAGGGTGTGTGTGTGTACATGTGCATGTGTGCATTTCTATATTTGCCTTGCTATGTAATATATAGTATATGAAGCCATTCTTACTTAAATTTAGTTAAACTTTGATTATGTATACATATAGGTAGCCCTTGTTTGGTAAACATAGTTGGGACTAGAAGCTCTGCTCTTAAAGTAGTTACTAAATGGCAAATCATGTAATTGTGACTGTTCTTTCCTTTTCACTCTCCTCTACCCTTTGGAATACTTACCCTGCGGCTTGAGGCAACTTACTGGCAGTTGCTGCCTATAAATTACATGATTAATTAGTTTCACATTTTCTGTTGCCCTATGGGAATGCTCACCCAAACTGGGATATTTAGTAAGAAGGGAATTAATGTTTGTATTAAATTCATTGGAGAGGAAGGACTACAATAAGTAATCAGGCACACAAGGGGGAATACACATCAAAAGCAATGTGCTGGGAACAGCCATTATGCTATGCAAACATAGCATGATGTTTTATATTTTCCATTGTGTGCCCGCTTACTCTATTGCAATCCCTTCTTCTCCAATTTCTCCCCTAGGGAGAAGGAAGAAAAAAAAGATCCATACAGAGATTGGTTGTAATTTTTCTTTCTTCCCACACTTCAGAGTAGAAAATTTGGTTAAACAAGTATGAGGGAGAGTAGCTGTTTTATAGCTGTTACAAAAGTCAAAGAAATTCTGATTAAATTTTGAATAGTTGTACAGAATTTAAACAGGAGCAAGTGATCCTTCACTTACTTTAGCTATAAACCATTTAGGACTTTCATTTAAACAGAGTGATAACCAGTAAAATTACAATACTGGTGCACACAATGCATAAAATGAGAGTTATAACTTGTTCTTAATAAGCATTCCTCATTCCTAGGGAAAAGCTTCAGACATTAGCCTTCATCACAATATAGGCGCAACCATTCTAATCATAAACATAAAACTAGTCTAGCATCCTTAAATACAGTTACTTCTACATCTTGTTTCTTATAAGAATTAACCTGATACAGAAAGAATAGAGAAATGATATCCAAAGATGTTGAAGAAAAGTGGTAAATAATGCAAACTTATGAAAATTACCTTTTCTAAATACTTTATCACCATTTATCATTACTACCGGACATTATTATGAAATTATCAGAACATGATACTATTTATTGACAGCCTAATGTCACTATTCTTGAATTCTTCTAAACACATCAGCAAAATAAAATAAATAATCCCAGGAATTGTAGAGAGAAATGGTTGCAAAAATTTAGAAATTCAGATAGCAGAAAGTATCTGAAAGTAATTAACTTAATTAAATAACTTTAGGGGGCTAAGATTTTATTTCTATACTTTTGTTCTTTTTTAGTTTCAGTGTTGTGGAATTTTAGGATCTAGAGATTTTCAGGATGCTGAATTTTTCAAAGAAAAGCAGCCCCGTGACTCATGGCCACAAGCTTGCTGTACTCGAGGCAAATCCCCTGAACCTGAGGAAATTCTGGATGTGAAGCTCTGTCAGGAAGGAAAAGATGGATATGTCAATAATTTAGTAAGGATGTTTGCTCATCTGCATGCTATATAATCACTGTAATCCTTAGACAAAGAGTTCTAGAGAGAAATTTACTGATAACTGTTAAATAGGACCTTTATTGATATAATTGCTCTCCTGCTTTGGACTCTAATAATGTAAGTAATTAATATTTGCATTTTTAAAATTCTCACATGCTTGCCTGCCAAAAGAGAATGTTGAATCTCTTAGAAAGTTTAGCATCTTATTCATCAGTACTGACTCAAAGGCTGACATACACAATAATTATTAGGAGAGCAAATTCTGTGTAATGGTTAAGAAGTTGGATTAGGACTGGCAAAACCGAAGTTCTAGGTCACACCTTAGACACAGAAAAAAAGCTGAGTGACCTTGGGCCAGTCATTTTCTCTCAACCCTAGGAAGAAGGCAATGACAAACCACTTCTGATATGTTATCACATATCATAGACTTGTCCACATAATTGCCAGGATTTAGTTAAAATTAACTTAAAACCCCCTCTCCCCAAAAGGTGTTTACGTTATCACTGGAATATCTTTTAAGGTTTATTTTAGTCATGCGTACCAGCTTTACAATTTAACAATTGCTTTTCAGCATATATAAATTCAATTTGAAACTATCAGTATCAACTCTCAAATAGTCCAAATATGGTGCTTAAATTGGGCCCCACTTTTCTTTCAAAGGAATTCTCAGGACATGTAGAGAGGATGAGAAACCATCTGCTAACCAGATATATAGTATAGCAAGCCCTTCTACAAGTCAACATCTTGAGAGATATTCATGTTGTGTATTTGGGTTACTTTAATGCTGGAGAAATTTGCATAATGATTCTTTTATTTATTATAGGGCTGCTCCCAAGTAATTGCATATTTCTTTTCTTGGTACACATGGACTTTTGTGGGCTGTTGTTTAGGAGTATTAGCTGCTGAGGTAAGCAGGCATGAGTCTATTTGTGAAGTAAGCTTCATATTTTCCTTTGGCCCTCCCCCTTTATTAGATTCAATAGTGTGGTTTATTTAATTTAATGTGTTGATTCTTTCCAGAAAGTACAAACCATGGCTAACAAATTATAGCTTCAGATGATCAGCATTTGATGTACTTGTTTTTTATTTGCTTTATATCCCTTGTGAAGATTCTCCCTAAAAGATGGAGTATAAATTTATTAATTAAATAAGTTTTACTTTGGGTTTCAATCATGGGCAAAGAAAATTACTTCTCTTGATATATCAAAATCTCTTATAGAAATAATGGAACTACACAAAAAATAAGAGGGAGGGGAGCTAGTTTGTTCCTAAATATTCTGATTTCTTACTTTTTTTTTATTAACCAGGCATGATTTCCTTCTGGAAAGAGGAAATTTGCTTCTTAAATTGATGTTATATTCTAGCTTAAACAAAACCCTGAGGCAGTTGGAAGTTGAACTAATATATCAATCTTGATATTTGTTTCAGATATTTGTTATGGCAACTGCATGGTACCTGCATCGCAAATTAGATGATTGATCTAGCTTGCTAATTCAGGAGAAAATTAAACATACAATACTGGGAAAATGTATTGGTATTTCATGTTTTAGTTTTTTTTTAAAAAGGATAGAAGCACTATCTTTCAGATACTCCAAAACTTGAAAGGCCCAGCTGAGGAATCATGGGTACAAGGTACCTGCAGCCCTAGTAGAGATGTGGGGGGTCCTAGTTGGAACACCATTGTCATCTCAGGCCCTGCACCTACTTTTTTTTATCTTGGTGCGTAGAATAACAGAGTTGGAAGGGACCTTGGCGGTCTTCTAGTCCAACCCCCTGCTTAGGCAGGAAACCCTACATCACCTCAGACAAATGGTTATCCAACATCATCTTAAAAACTTCCAGTGTTGGAGCATTCACAACTTCTGGAGGCAAGTTGTTCCATTGATTAATTGTTCTATCAGGAAATTTCTCCTTAGTTCTAAGTTGCTTCTCTCCTTGATTAGTTGCCACCCATTGCTTCTTGTCCTACCCTCAGGTGCTTTGGAGAATAGCTTGACTCCCTCTTCTTTGTGGCAGCCCCTGAGATATTGGAACACTGCTATCATGTCTCCCCTAGTCCTTCTTTTCATTAAATTAGACGTACCCAGTTCCTGCAACCGTTCTTCATGTTTCTTTGTCAGTGTGAGAAGAGAAATGTCTCTTGCCTTCTAAAGCCCCTTTCTCTAATACATGTTGGCCCACTGGAGTAAATTTTATGTGAGAGACTCATCGTAAGTTGTGTTCTTATCAAGTATTTCAGCCCTGCTTAAAATGCCTTGATTTGGTATTTTAATATTTCTCATTTTAGATCATCACTGTAAATGCTTTATCTGCATTGCTGTTTGCAGGGGCATAATACTACCATTTGTGTATTAATAACAATTCAGTGGGTATTCAATAGATGCTAGATGTAAAAATGAAAAAATGGTGACAAGAATTCAAAAAACTACATGTACTGCTGGTTGGTGAAAGAAAGGATACTCTTGGTACTTGAATGTTACTGCACTTCTGGCAGTCTATTTGACCACAGTACATGGACTGGTATGAGTGTTAGACATAGATTATCCCAATCCCATTCCTTACCTCAGACAACTAAAAATGATCAAACAACAACTTTGCCAATTTAAATTGTTTAAAGGTGAGGGGGTGAAGGTCTATAGGCGGGTTCAGAAAAAGTCAAGGTGGTGATTGCAACTGTGTGATCAAAGCTGTACCTTTTTTTTACTTGTGTCATTGCCACTAGCTTGATTTTTTTGAATCTTGGATTCCCCTGGAGTTATTCCTTTATTATATCAGTATTCAAACATGATAAATAAATACACAAGATGAAACTCATGTATATCCTTTAAAAATAGAATAAAAGCAAAATATATGCCATAGTACTATTATTAACAGACTATAGAACAATATGTACAGTCATTCATGCCCTAGTCAACTCATGGCTCAACTACTGCAGTGTCTTTACATTGATCTGCCCTTGAAGAATACTTGAAGCTTCAACTGGTCCAAATGTAGCAACATTGACAGTGATGGACATGCGTCTGTTATGTACACTCACCACCTCAAGATCCTCGTGGAGCTTGCTGGACTTCCAGGTGAGGTTCTATGGCAGATTAGATGTCTCTGAAGACAGAAAGAGCTGAAAGTAGTGAATGAAAGCCAGTAGTGATTTCTAACCAACAAAGCTTTTCTGGATAAAGGAGAGATCAAATGATTGCCCACCTGCACTCTGGACCTCTCCTTGTGCTGAGATGGGATGGAAGTCCTGTGGTTTTCTCATCAGTAGATGGAATTGGATTGAGGAAGAAACACTGTGCTCACATATGCAAGTGCAGCCTTTTAAAGGATATTCAGTTTGACCAAATGCTCACTTTAATTACTTTCATATAGTCAATTAACAGTTGGAAAAAAAATGGTCTTTGAAAGCAACAAGACAAAAAGATAAAAGATGGGAGGAGAAACTTGCCTTTTTTTCATCTTTGTAATTGACTTACTTTCACTTTTGAATTATAAGTAAAAGAATGGCAACCATCAGAGCTGCAAGGGTGAGGGAAGGAGAGGATTATTGGAGCAACAATCTGTAAAGATGAAAAAACTTAAAAAGCAAATTAAAGAAACTACATGACAAGAGAGCCACTTAGTCTAGTGGTTAAGGCACAAAACTAGAAAGCAGGAGATCATGAGTTCAAGTACTGCCTTAGCCATGAAAGCTGGCTGGCTGATTTTGGCCAGTCACTGTCTCTCAACCCAACTCACCTCACAGGGTGGTTGTTGTGAGGAAAATTGGAGGAATGTGTGTTGGATATGTTCACTGCCTTGAGTTACTAGTACAAACACAAGTGGGATGTACATAAATAAAATAGTAAAATAAAGTTACAGGAGAAGTTAAATTAATGACAAAGTGGAAATTTTAGAAAGTGAAATAGAATAATAAATAGAAAGATGAGAAAAGGTTTAGACCCATGATGGCGAACCTATGGCATGGGTGCCCAAAGTGGCATGTGGAGTCATGCCTTTTGGCATGCATGGCGTCGCCCGTTCCTCTTCTGGGTTTCTGGTGCACATGCGCCCGCGACGATCAGCTGGCCTTTGTGTGTGCAGCAGTGCCGGAAACTAGAAAAGCTGGTCTTCCATTTTCCGGGGTGAGCATGCACGCCGGCCAGCTGATCGGCACCTGCGCCTGCACAGCAGTAACCTGAAGACTTGCTGACCAGAAGTTAATTTCCCCATGCCAGCTCCTCTTCCTGGTCACGGCCCAGACAAGTGCGTGAAGTGCTCCCTTTTTGGCAATCGTTGCCCCGCACGCATGCACTCCCTTTTCGGCACTCAGTGCCGAAAAGGTTTGCCATCACTGGTTTAGACAATGTGGCTTTACTGGGATTGAAAAAGAAATACTTGAGATTTACAGCAATTTCAGAGAATCCTGGAGAAGACACCAGAGAAAAGGTTGTTCAGTCTTCGACAAACTTTTTTTTGGAATAGGATGGTGACGCTGCTCTTGCTGAGAGAGCGTCTTGTGCAATTTAGCAGCTGTGAGCCACTGCTTTCCTCTAAGTCCCATCCAGAAGCAGCAGCCTTGTTGAATGCTGTTTCTCTCAACCGCAGCGCTTTCCAGATGGAATTTAAGAGGAAAGCGGCGGCTCACAGCTGCTAAATTGCCCAAGATGCTTTCCCAGCATTGCAGAGAGAAACAGCCATTGCCCCAGAGAACAAAGATTGAAGGGACTAGGCCCAGAAAGGCTGCTTGGTCGAGCCTCGCTGAACTCTTCAGCTTTAGGTATATTCTGTAATTCAGATTCAAATATACCCTATTCCTTTAATTTATTTGGAATATTATTTCTTATTCTTTTTCTTTATTCTGTATAACATTATTTACCTGAAAGGGGATATTTGGTCAATACAAATGTACAATCCAAATTATGTGCTAATATATCATGTAGCTACTTCCAGGGAGCTTCTCTCCATTATAGAGATCCTAATTTTCAGTACTCTGCAAAAGCTGCATTACAAATACTAATACAAGCAGCATAGTTTACATTGTTGTTAATTTTATTTTAGGACACATCTATCTGCATATTAATTGCCTACATGGGAAGTCACTGGCCATGCTAAGAATTTTCCAGATATGCAAAAGCAAAAAGAAGGAAAAAAATGCTTCTGAGATTTAGAGAATGTCACCTTATTCCAGTAGATTAGAAAGTTTTGGTTCATATTAAGAAAGCCAAAAAACCCCAAAAATTCAGAATAGACAGTATAACTTAACCAAAGGGGGGGGTCTATAGTTACTCATATTAGTTGGATTAGTTACATTTTATGATAGGTTACACTTTAAATATCATTACTTTAATGTACCATGTTACATTATATTGCCACGTAATAAACCTGTATAAATATTTGATTATATTTTGATTCAAATATGCCTGAGAACAGAGTTCAGAGAACAAAATCACATAATAAAAAGGAATCCAGAATTAAAATTCAGAATATATGTTGAAATGGCAATCAATTTAATGTATAATGATTTCCTGTAAATCTTCGATAGTTTTTTAAAATATGGATGCTAACTATCCATGAGGACTTTGTAATTCTTATGGAGAAATCAGAAATGTTGTTAAATGGTTCCCAATGTGTTTGTTTAAAGAAAATTAGAAAACCTGAATAAAATGGAGTTGAAAGTGCTCAGTAGAATAGCTACCACTTAAGGTTGGGTCAGTTGACTCTGCTGTAAACAGCTGCTTTGCTTTGGGCTTGGGCCATGGAGTAAATTTGCATTCCAGGTGACAATGTCACATTTTATGTTGATCTGAAACACCTTTTACAGTTTTTTTCTAAAAAAAATTATTTTTCCAAAAATAAAATACAAATACTGAATAAAAGAAAACAACAAAGCAAGAATTATAAACAAGATACAGAAAAATGAAAATGGAAAAAAGGTTTATGCAACAAACATAAAATTAACAGTAAACATATGACCTCCACCCTAGTTATTTTTGTATACAGTGTCAGCTGCAAGGATTGTGTGTGCCAAATATTGGAAAGAAAAAAGAATGTGCTGACACTGGACAAATGGATTTTGAAACTGCCGGAATTGGCAGAGAAGGCAAAATTAACTGTGTTGATTAGACACAATGGTTTGGATAAGTTTGGAAGCCATTTATGGAATTTCTGCAAGTTAAATATAATAAGGGACTATTAGCAGAGGGCTTTCAATTTAATATATTTTGGGGCATTAACAGTTAACAGCTTGATCTCACACGATCTAATTAATTCAATCCCTTGCATTGCGGTTCTACAAATGGCTATACATTTTTCATCTATACCATACTTGTATATTGTATATTACTATTTTACATCACATTCTCTTAACAAATATCTCAAATATACAAATCTATTATCAAATTGACTAAATACCAGTTCACTGTAAAAAAGCTGTTAACTGTTAACTCTCCCAAAATATATTAAACTTCAAAGCCTTCTGTTTTCAGAAATACCATATAGGTCAGTATTAATTAATTAATTAATTAATTAATTAATTAATTAATTAATTAATTAATTTATTTATTTATTTATTATTTTTCAACTTTCTATACCGCCCTTCTCCTTTCGGACTCAGGGCAGTGAACAGCCAAAATAAAAACATCTATATATAACATTACAATTAAAAATAGAGTTAAAATAATTTATAAATTTGGCCCGTAATTTAAAACTTGTCAATTTAAAATCAATATTAAAAAATTTTAAACTAACCCTAAAATCAAGACAGACCGGCTAACTGAAAAAAATAAGTTTTTAGGGCCCGACGAAAAGTCCGGAGGTCGGAGATCACTCGTATCTCTGGGGGTAGATTGTTCCATAGGGTAGGTGCCACCACAGAGAAGGCTCTCCTCCTGGGGGTCGCCAGCCGGCATTGTCTGGCCGACGGCACCCTGAGGAGGCCCTCTCTGTGGGAGCGAACCGGCCGGTGGGAGGCTATTGGTGGCAGAAGGCGATCCCGTAAGTACCTTGGCCCTAAGCCATGGAGCACTTTAAAGGTGATCACCAACACCTTGAAGCGCACCCGGAAGTCCACCGGAAGCCAATGCAGCTTGCGCAGGAGAGGAGTCACATGGGAGCGCCCCGTCGCTCCCATAATCCCCCACGCGGCTGCATTCTGCACCAGTTGGAGCCTCCAGGTATACCCCAAGGGGAGCCCCATGTAGAGAGCGTTACAATAGTCCAGACGAGAGGTGACGAGTGCTTGAGTGACCGTGCGTAGGGAGTCCCGGTCCAGAAAGGGGCGCAACTGGCATATCAGGCGAACCTGATAAAAAGCCCCCCTGGCCACGGCCGTCATATGCCCTTCTAAAGACAGCTGTGCATCCAGGAGGAGACCCAAGTTGCGGGCCCTCTCCGTGGGGGCCAATGATTCGCCCCCAATAACCATCGATGGCGTCAGCGGGCTATACCGGGACGCCGGCAGCCACAGCCACTCGGTCTTGGAAGGGTTGAGTCGAAGCCTGTTTCTCCCCATCCAGACCCGCACGGCCTCCAGGCACTGGGACATTTTGTTGTAAAGGTATAACAATATAATCTTGCAAGTCTGAATATGCATCATTCTTCCTTCGTCTATCGCTATGTGATCTAGAGAAGGGCTTGTGCGAGATATTTTCTCAAGTTACTTTCTTGACTGAGGTTCAGGCCTTTTTTTATCTGACTATTGTCTTGGTAGCAGTTCTTCCTCCTAACTTTAAGGCTATTCCTTCTGCAGAATGATATGAGTTCTGGAGGACCAAGGTTGGGAAAAACTATATTAGATTATGGGACAGCTGTTTAAATTACATTCATCAGTCAGCATTTTATGTAAAATATTATGCAATCATAATTTTAAATTAGAAAGATTCATTAAATATGTGTCTGGACACATTTTGTTAAGAAAAAATATCTAAAAATATTTCTTCAGCAGTGCTGATGTACAAAATATCGTTCCTATGGTTTTAGAAAAAAGATTGCACTTCTGTAAAAATTACTTCATCTGTGAACAGTTAGTTACTCACCTGAGTCACTTATTGTCCTGTCATTTGCAAGGCCGTGTTGCAAGGATGAAAACCACAGAAGTGACTCATTGGCCCTACTTACTCCTATAGATATATTTAAATCCTTATTGAAAACCCCCGCACACAAACACAATCATTTTTCTTTATGTGGCTTCTCAATTCAAGTACTAACAGTGATGGAGCTAGAACTAGCTATCTCTGAAGCCAAAGAGCCCATCCTTGAGTTTGATTTAGAAGTTAACAGATCTAAAGTTACACATTATGCTTCAAGGAACTTTTATCACATCACCTTCATCTCTCTAAACTATCATTTAAAGATACTAAGCTTGAATAGCAGAAACACAGGAAGTTGTTTTTGAAATACAGTTGTTTCCTAATACTACCAGCTTAGCTTATTTCAGCTTCCTATCTCAGTGGTCCCCAACCTTTTTGGCACCAGGGACCTATTTTATGGAAGACAATTTTTCCAAGAACCGGGAAGTGGGGGGGAGATGGAGAACACAAACTAGATTCCACACAAGTGCAGTTTCACTTTCATTCGCTGCTCACTCCAGCTATGCAGTCCGGTTCCTAACAGGCCATGGATCGGGTCCTATCATACTGTTTTTTCATATAGAGCTACAAACCTCTCTTCTTGTGGGGAAAAACAGATTGATGCAAAATAATCCTGGAAAGACTCAATTGGAAAAGGAGGGTCTCTGACAAGCAGAAGACAATGCAAGTTGTAGCCATCATTTGAAGAACATTGTTAGTGGGCTCTTATGCTGTAAGATGATCAGATATATCATCATTAGGACTGAGAACACAGAACTGATTTCTTCCACTGCATCTTTGATTCTTATATCCAGAAAGGATCTGTCTGTAAGCAATGTTCTTATACTGTGAGACATCCTGATGATTCAAATGGAGTCAGGCTTTAGGCTTTATCCAGATGCTTATGTTACTTATGATCAATGAGTCAGACTGAGTGTTAGTTACCAAAATATGCACACAATTAGGGTCAAAGGTGGTACTATTCTCTAGGTTCTGCTTGTCAAAATTTCCTTTGGCAAAGTGCCCAATGGGGATATAGTTAGCACACCTTGGTCTTGATGTATGTGATTTGTAAGTGCCCAATGCTACAAGCCCTTCATGGAGATAGCAATCTGGGTACTCCTGAGAGCCTGTATAGATCTGGATGCGGAAGATGGGGGCAGCCTGCCTAAAGAGAAGTGTGAAGGAGTTGCCAGCAGAAGGGGCCTTACCCCAAAAGTAGCCTATCACACTACTGTAAGCCTTACTGGGCGTATAATCCTGAAATGTTCCAATATCGGTTATTATATCTGCTGGGGGATTGTCAGGGATCTTAGAGAAATCCTCTTCAAAGTCTTCATCTTTCAGTTTGTTTAGTGTGCCCTGGAAGGAGGAATAGTGACCAACATGCTGGAAAAGGGATTGCCTGAAACGAATTTCCTCCTTTTGTGTAAGCAGGAGACGGAAATGCACAAAAAGCCAATCACAAGGCATCTCTTGGTAAAAGAGCATGAGGAATCGAGCAAGCCGGGGGATGTCAGTAGAATGGTAGAGCTTGGCAATGTAACCAAGTTTGGAAAATTCCAAAGTGACCCAAGAGGTACCCTCCTGGGATGCCAGATTTCTTTTGATTACTGTGAGGAAATGTTTGGTGCAACGGACATCATCCTCAATCATGAGGTAGTAGGTGGAGAGGTTGGATGCAAAGTTCATGAGGTAAGCATAATCAACATTCTGTTTTGATCGAAAGCGCACCCGTTCCTCAGGATCATTAAAATTCCTTTTTAGGCCTTCCAAGGGAGGGTAATACTCAAGAGGTGTGTGGATAACTACTACATTTCTCTGATGGAGCTGATCAGGAAACCTTCTGGCAATTTCCAACGCCATTTGAGAATTCCACTTATGGTCTGTATCCGTTAAATGTACCACCACCACCATTTCCTTCAGCTCTTCTTCTGAAGATTGTTCAAAGATGGATGTCAGGGTATCCAGGAGATAGTTTTGTCTCATCCGCTGGATAGAACAGAGTCCTAATGTCAGAAACTCTGCAGTGAAAAGAAAAAAATGTATGCACCTTGTAAGTTTGAATCCCGCTACCCAGGGTGTCAAATCACATACCTATTTGTTCTGTATATTTGCAGCCTTATGTAGCTGATATATGCATCAATCAACAAGAAACCCAAGGCACTAATTAAAAACGATTGTCACTAGGTTTAGAATAAACAAGTAAAGTAATTTTGCACTGATGGAAATTATTACAAGAGACAGTAACAACTCTAGTTTTAGGGATTTTAAAATACACTGCTCAAAAAAATAAAGGGAACACAAGCAGAAGACATCCGAGATCGGAATGAATGAAATAGCCTTATTAAATACTTCATTCGTTACATACAGTAGTTTTGTGTTCCCTTTAGTTGTTTGAACAGTGTATAAACTACTGTATGTAAAGAACACAGTATTTAATAAGACTATTTCATTCATTCTGATCTCGGATATCTTCTGCTTGTGTTCCCTTTATTTTTTTGAGCAGTATATTTAGACAAATTCCACGTCCAGGTGTAGAGACAATAAATAGAAAAGGAGAGATGACTGCCTTCATGTATGTTTTCAAAAAAAAAAGTTACTATCTTATGCAGCAGAAGTTTTATTATGTTCTGTGTTCCTATATCACTTTCATGCATTGCTAAATGAATGTAATTCTCTAAATCAGCCTTTCCAACACAACATGTTCGTTATGGGACTGTGGAAATTGAACTCCTGTTATCTATACATGGAGCCTGATTGGAAAGCCTGGGCCATTTAACAGAAACAAGAATCCTGCAATGTAATAAATCTGTTAATTTCAAACATGTTAGGTCATACTTTGTTTTTATCTCCTTTAAATATTCCAAGAAAAAACTATAGCTACCTGGAACAGCAGTGCATTTCCTTAAGGTGCATTGACAAATTTCATTGAGTTTACAATATGCAGCTACTGGTTTGCTGGCAAAGTCAAATCAGAAATAAAGAGAAGGAAAAAAATGGCTCTCCACGATAAAAGTACAATAAAGTAAGGAGCAGAAGCATGGTGGAGGATGAAGCTGACCAAACACCAATAGCTGCATATTTCTTATTTCCATCAAAAGTGCAAGTGGAGTGCAGTACATCACTTTGTGATGACATCACAAATGACACTATTCAACAACATTTTGGTGTGGCACCGATTTTAGAGAAAATTAGAGAAGGCTGGCTCTGCTGGTATGGACATGTCCTGAGAGCAGCACCTTCCACCATTGCCAAGACTGCCTTCCAACTAGAAGTTAATGGCCAGCAACCTCACAGGCGTCCAAAACGGAGATGGCAAGACACCATCAACAAAGATATGCAAGCTACGGGTCTGCACTCTGGAGACGCAACTGACCGTGCAAAGTGGCATTTGATGATCCGAAAAGGGGATTGCGGGAATACACTAGGAAGAAGATCAGCAGTGTAGGTGACAATGGCTCCATAAAGGCATATTTGGCCAATTGCCCACAACATAGACACTCAATCCAGAAGTACTACTGTTCCCTCTTAAATCAGTCACTCTTCTTTTTATATTTCTTAGGCAGTAGGAAAGATGTAAAAGGCAGTTTGTTGTAGTAGTCAAGGCACTAGCCTAGAAACCAGAGACTGTGGGTTCTAATCTTGCCTTAGGTACAAAGCCAGCTGGGTAACTTTGAGGCTACTTAATTTCTCTCAGCCCTATGAAGGAAACAATGGCAAACATTTTCAAAAATGTTGCTAAGGAAACTGCAGAGACTTGTCTAGGCAGACTTCAAGAGTCAAAACTGACTCAAAGGAATCACACATACCAAAAAAGGATATATAGTAGGTGCCTATTCCTCTGCTTGCATCCTTTCCTCTCCTTAACTATAACCAACAATTCTGATTGCTAAAGGAGAAGGGAGACACATACCGAATTAACCGTTGAGCTGGAAATGAGACACACCAGCCAACTGCATCCTCTTGAGAATGAGAGCCTGAGCAATAGCAACGGCCCCATTCCTTCTCTACTTGGAAATAGGAATGAAGAAAGATCTGCCATTATACATTCTGCTCTACCAGCTCTATTACCCACCGGGTGGCAGCATGAGGCTACCACTGAGCAGAAAAAACTGCATAGTTGTCCTATCTTTAGAGATAAATTGGCATGAATATTATTGCTCTTTTGACTAAAGGTAGGAACAGAGCTTTATTTTTGCTTTAAAAACCTTAGCCACCACAAAGGCCTGCTTGTTTTGATGTCCTAAAATGAATTCCACTTATCTTTGGAGCTAGTCCTCGACGTTACAACTGTTGCACCACCACATGATCGCAATTCAGGCTCTTGGTAACCAGCTTGTATTTGCAGTGACATGATTACTATTTGTAACCTTTCCAGCTGGCTTCCTGTAAGGAAAGTCAACTGGAGAAGCAGAATTTGCTTAATGACTGGGTAATTTGTTTATTATCCATGCTGATTCACTTAAATGCCTGTGGTCAAAACGATTATAAAATTGGGTCTGGTCATGTGATGACTCCTTTTATGACTGCACTAACTTATGATGGAAATTCTGGTCCCGCTTGTGGTCATAAATCAAGAATTACCTATATTTGATCTGCCTTTTGCTGCTACTTACTTTTCTGGAGTGGAGGCAATCCAGCAAGGTAGTCATAAGAGATATTCAGCGTGTTGGTGGCATTGATAAACTTTCGGAGGCTATAAACGGTCCAGTGAGTTGCAATATTGTGCAGACCCACTGTTTTAGCCCACTTCCGAACATCATTCTGTGAAGAAAGAGACAATAATAGTAAACTTTCACCAAATCAGTGCAGTAGCTTTCTATGGCTATGAAATTATTTCAGTAAAGCAGGACTAAAACACAAAAAGTGTCTCTGAACTTCCAAAGTTTAATAAACCTTTAAAAAAAAGAAAAAAAAAGAAATGGAAACTCAGAATAGAATAACAGAGTTGGAAGAGACTTTGGAGGTCTTCTAGTCCAGCCCCCTGTTCAGGCAGGAAACCCTATACCATTTCAGACAAATGGTTGTCCAATCTCTTCTTAAAAACTTCCAATGTTGAAGCATCCACAACTTCTGGGAGCAAGTTGTTCCACAGATTAATTGTTCTGTCAAGAAATTTCTTCTAGGTTGCTTCTTTCCTTGATTAGTTTCCATCCATTGCTTCCTTGTTCTGCCTTCAGGTGCTTTGGAAAATAGCTTGACTCCCACTTCTTTGTGGAAGCCCTTTGTGGCAACAGACAGGAAGCAGCAGGTAAAGCTAAGTAGAATCACATCGGATACCTGTACATTTAGCACAGGGCCCCCCAAGGATGTGCGCTCTCTCCACTTCTCTTCTCTCTATATACCAATGACTGCATCTCAAACGATCCATCTGTTAAACTACTGAAGTTTGCAGATGATACAACAGTGATTGATCTCATTTGAGATGATGAATCTGCATACAGACAGGAGGTTGAACAATTAACCTCATGGTGCGACCGGAACAATTTGGAACTGAATACACACTTGGCCAATAAAGAATTCTATCATCTTTCTTTCTTTTCTTTTCTTTCTTTCTTTCTTTCTTTTTCTTTTTTTCTTAGATATTAGAACATTGCTATATGTCACTCCTAGTCCTTCTTTTCATTAAACTAGACATACGCAATTCCAGCAACCATTCTTTATATGTTTTAGCCTCCAGTCCTCTAACCAGCTTTGTTGCTCTACTCTGCACTCTTTTCTAGAGTCTCAGTATCTTTTTTACATCGTGGCAACCAAAAGTGGATGCAATATTCCAATGTAGTTTTACCAAGGCATTATAAAATGTAATTAACACTTCATGTGATTTTTTTATTTTTATCCCTCTGTTAATGCAGAGGGACCCCATTGGCTTTTTTGGCAGCTGCAGCACACTGCTGGCTCACATTTAAGTGATTGTTCACTAGGTCTCCACGATCCATCTCACAATTAGTACTATACTATACCTGTGCATTTGATTTTTATTGCCTAAATGTATTTCATCTGATTACAAGTATCTGGAGAAAAAGGCCATTGGTTGAACATCAAGGACCAGACTTATGTCTGCTGCTTCTGCTTTTTATTTGAGGGGTGGGGCTATACCTGGTGCCAATCAAAATTTTCTGTGCATTCATTTCTGCCTGGGTTCAGGGAGAAAATAATGATTTAAAATAAGGCTAAAGGAGGACAGATTTTTATTAGTTGAAGACTCCATATTGGCACCTACCCATTTATCTTACAAATAAAACTACAGGACAATGTTCCCCTTCTTTTTGTGTATTCGCAATACCTGCAAGTCCTGAAATGGTGAGTCAATGTTCATAGGATGTCATAGGCACCGTAATGATGCCTTTTGTTGCATTCTGCAGGAGTGTTTCATTTTAGGTAAAGGAAATCTGCTTTCCATCCCATTGAATACAGATAACTCTTCTTCCATGTATGCTAATAAAATATTAGTTTGGCAGCTATATAACGAAAAGTCTCCTTTATCAGGCAAGTCTGGTATCTGAAGTAATAATAATCTTCTTAGGAACTGGAAATACATTTTAGTTTTGAAGCAGAAGTCTCTATATATGCCACTGCTTCACCCTCTGGTTCTAAAAACTCTTGCCATGACAAGGTTGAAGATAGATGTGTCTTAGAATTTCATTCAATTCATATTTTTAAGAGTATCAACTAGATCTGTACTTTCTAGACTAAGATGCTGATTGAATTTTTGCATTCCCAAGTTTTATGGAACTGGTTTGTTGTTGTGGCTAGGGCATCAGGCTAGAAGCTGGTAGGCCCTGAGTTCTAGTCCCATTTTAGGAACAAAGTCAGCCAGTCACTGTCCCTCAGCCCTAGAAACAGGCAATGGTAAACTACTTCTGAAAAAATCTGCACATGCAGTTGTCCATGCAGTTCTCAGGTGTAAAAACCTGACTTGAAGGCATACACACAATTTTTGTGACACGTTTTAATTAAAAGACTGCATTTTAGAGTAATAATAATGCATACTTAGCGTAATTGTTTTTTTAAGAGTTAGATAAAATAAAAATTTAACGGTACAGATGTATGACCTTTGAAGAAATGGACAGAGGCTTTTCTTTCCATAGTGGCCACAACCTGGATGGAACACCAGTTCTTTCAAAAAACAGCACTACACTGTGCTTTCCTTACCTCAGACAGTATCGGGAGAAAACTAAGCAGCAAATTGTCAATTCCATCATTATTTCTTTGTACAGATCAGCACTGACATTCTGCTTGATTTTCTGCCAAAAAGTTTTAACAAGGGGCTGCTAATTTCTAGGCTGCTTATCTCTATCCTCATGTTTACTATAAAACGGTGGACAAATCAGCATGAAAATAAAGAGAGAACTTGCATCCAAGAGAGGACATAATTTAGTTAAAACAGTTTCTTGAAAATACTCAAAATTTATGAAGCAATTTTGGGACTTCTAATAGAACAAGAACTCAACAACATGTGTTATTCTCTCTCTCTCTCTCTCTCTCTCTCTCTCTCTCTCTCTCTCTCTCTGTTTCTCTCTCGTCTCTCTCTTTCTCTCAGCAAATGTGTTGTTACACTTACCATCACAAGATCTTCATGGTGCCAAGAAGCCAGATTCATGATTAGTAGGAACAGAAAGAGAGAAATGGCTGTTGCAAGTGATCGTTTCAGGGAACACCTCATGACAACAGACACTTTGGAAAGAATGTGTTAGAAGCTAGTGAATCTGCAAGCATTCAGTTCTCACCATGTCATCTGGAAAAAAAAATAAGAAGATATTATAAACATTTCTCAATGTCAATACACGTTGTCAATACACAATACAATCATGCCGGAGTCAGACACTAACGGTATTGCCAACATATCTGTACTGGAGGTAAATCAGGTCCCAAAAGTTTAACAGCAGTTGATTGTAAATTGTAACATTTATCTTTGTTAATATAAAAGGTACAATTGATAAAGAAACCAGGAAATGTAAAAATGATTCAAGTCAAATAATGAGATTTTATTGACAGCCTTGTCAGGCAGTTTAATATTACAGAAGTATCAAGAAGATGCTAACAAAAGTCCTTCAAAAATTCAAGAGCTTCTTGCATCCACAAAACAGATTATTTATCTAAGCCTGATCTTTGCCTTTTCTACTGCTAGGTTTGAAATATTGAGTTTCTAGTGATTAATTGTCATATCCTGGCAAGCTCTAAAATCTAAGGCTGCTCTGAAGAGAAAAAGCCTTGATAGGAGGTCTCAGCTTTACAAAGAAGAGTATGTCAGGAAATTTAGTCTGGCCAGGCAACATTCATAAGCATATTTTATTGAGGGACTCTTGAAAAAACAGCTCTGCTAATGAGGTTTCAAATTACCAGTCCACTCAACTCACAATTCTTTTAATCTAATCCTGTCTACTAAACTCCCTTTTTATGATGCTGCAATCCCTATTCAGGATAGAATCAGGGTGACTGGATGGAGCTGTTTACTTGCTGGATGCCCTTCCTGGATGCCTATGGGAAGTTTGCAGCAGATGTTTTTTCTTTGCCCCCTAGGAGAGAAATTGCTGCCACTATTGAGGATTGAACTCTCAACCTTCTAAGTGGGAGGCGAGCGTCTTCACCATACCCTGCTTTTCTAATACTAACTACTGGATATCATATAATGCTAGAATGGGAAGACTCAGGATTGGATAGGGGTTGAAATGCTAACACATTTCTCCACATGTTCAGTTACAATCTACTTCTGTGCTTTTCCTATCAATCGGAAAGATAATAAATGTGCATCTTTTTCTGTCTGACAATCTTTCCAAATCAGAAATTATACCTTCTCCATTACATTTGGTTTTTCAATACTTGCAGTATTACTCCTCCCACCATACTTCTTGGTTTCTGAAGTTTACATAGACATTACTTGCACATTTCCAACATCTTTGCAGTTATTATTTGTGCCCGGTTAAGCAGAGAACATGGGAAGGAAATGCAATTGTTATCTTTGGGAGCAAATGTTCTGAAATTAATTAGCTATATCAACTAAAAATTTTTAATAGTTCATCAAAGTATAAAATACAAAGAAAAAATGGAAAAGTAAGAAGACAGGAAGTTATTTTATAATAGTTATTTAATAAACTAATTATAAAAGTTTTAATTGAATTAGTTATATCGATAAAGTATAAATGTTAAGAAAATACCTGATTTTATTTATTTAGTAAGTTAATTTAGCTGAAATTGAAAAATTGAATCCACTGAAAAATTACTCAGGAGGGTAATGAAAACAACATAAAGTTTAAAAACCTAAAATATAATACACTATAAAGTATACTCCACCAGAGGCAAATTCAACAATCAGAACAATCAGAGTGGTCAGGCTCATAAATCCTCTTGACCCAATGCTTTGGGGTGGAGTGGGGATATGGTCTTCAAAACCTCACAAAAGCAAGATAAGGCTAGAGCCATATGGATCCTGGGAGAGATAATATTTTATAGGAAGTGCTGAGAAGGCACATTTCCTGGGTCCTGAAATGACTTGGCTTGAGAGATGGATCTAGCTAGATCTTCTATTGGTAGAGTTATTTGGAGATGGGCAGTTCCACAAATAACCAGACTCTTGAAGGCTTTAAAGCACCTTGAATTGTACTGGTGACCGGAACAGCTCATAAATAGAGGTATTACATGGACATGTTCAGGTATCCCCATAACCACCTGAACTGCTATATTCTGAACCAAATATAGTTTCTGAGGGTAGCCCCATATAAAGTACACTGTAGTAATACAGACGAGAAGTGACCAAGGCATGAATTATGTGTAGATTCTGTTAATCCCAGAATGGGTACAATTGGTGCATAAGATAGATTTGCTCAGAAGCCCTCTGAGCCGTGGCTGCTAGCTACTATCAAGAAAGACTTGTCGATCTAGATAAAAAATGGAGTCCCTGCAGATTTTACTCCGCTAGTCAATGCCAACTATAGGGGGTGGTGCTCTTCTCTGTTTCAAGGCCATTAAGCCAGCGTTCTCTGAAGACATTTCTACAGTCATGTCGCCAGCATGACATCTCAGAGCACTGTTACCTTCCCATAAAAGTGGTACCTGTTTATCTACTTTCATTTGCATGCTTTTGAACTGCTAGATTGGCAGGAGTTAGGGTGAGGATGGGAGTTTACCTCTTTGCGTGGCACTTGGGTCTTGAAGCTCAACTGCTGGCCTTCCAGGTGACAAGCCCAGCATCTTAACCGCTGACCCACCGTACTGCCCTAGTAGGACCCACTATACCATTAGGTCTAAATGCTAATTTCCCCTTGCTGCCTTGGAATTCTGGGAGTTGGAGTCCACACATCTTCAAGTTGCCAAGGTTGAGAGACACTGTTCCAGATCTAGGATGCTTTAATATTCCCAACCAGTCTTGCTAGATTTCAGTCTATGTCTGTTCCTTCCATCTCATCTGACACTGAGCCAGAACACTTGAGCAGTCAGGGGCTGAGATGTATAATTGGCAACTCAGGTATAGATGGAAAGAGATGTATAATTGTCAACTCCATGCTTATAGATGACATCACCCAATAGCCTCATGTAAATGTTAAACAGGAGAGAGAATCAAGCCCTAAGATATCCCATACAACAATAGTCTAGGACTGGACTTTCTTCAACTGGATTTGTGATAGGCTGCATTGAGGACTGTGAAGAAATTGTGAACCCAGTCACTTGGAAGTTTGATAAACTGTTTGTTTCCAGACTTCCTGAGGTTAAATCAGTCAATGTAGTTGTGTAGCAGTTTAATTCTGATGCAAATATATTTATCAGAGGGATTTCAGTACAGTATTCCAAGCCAATGCTAATTCACTTAAACTGAACTGCTGCCAGCTTATACTGTGAGAAATCAGTGGCAAACACAACTCTCGGTTTTCAGACAAGAAGTCTAGTATTGTGGTTTTGAAAGCTATTCAAAGTGTTTCTCTGCAGTGTTACCTCAAAGTCAAGTTCTTTCAGCAGTTGTTCATCTAATTTATAGGTGGCTCAGTATATTTGTCTGTAAAAATACATGTTGAATCTAATTACATTCAGACAGATTCCATTCATTCCATCCATCCAAAACAGACTATAAAAAAACCTAAGAAGGAATCAAAAAGACCAAAATACCAAGGACTTCACCATCCAAAATAGATTTTTGTAACTGAGCTCGCAACAACAGAGGAATAATTTGTTAATGGTTTTACAGTAAAGAATTATATTATTTTAATTTGAGTAGATTATTCACTATCCCTCTGCCAATGCAGTGAAACTCTGTTATTAGAAGAGATAAGCCAAATTTTTAATATCCTCTTTGAGTTAAAACCATATTCTAGTATATATTGCAATTAGTGTACTGAGTCATACATTGGCAAACAATCAAATAAATAAAGCTCTGTAATAAATTATTTTTCTTGGTTCAAGCAATGAATAAACACGCTCCTTAAAATAATTTTATCAGCAGTAATATACGTCAAGATGATTTATTTATTTATTTATTTTATTATACTTATATGCCGCCCCTCTACCAAGGGACTTGGGGCGGCTTACAGAAATTAAGACAATAAAAACAGTGAAAAAAATAACTACACAGACAATCAATATAAAATCCATCCAATTAAAAAACCAATCCTCAGATCAGCAAATTTGTTGGAAAAGCCATGTCTTCAGCTATCGGCGGAAAGAGCAGAGGTCGGGGGCCATCCTGAGCTTCGTGGGTAACTCATTCCAGGGGGTCGGTGTGGCCACAGAGAACGCCTTCACCCTGGGTGCCACCAGCCGACATTGTCTGGTCGATGGCACCCGGAGGGCAGTCCTATGTGAGCGCACAGGGCGGTGGGAGGCAGGCAAAAGGTGGTCCTGTAGATACCCCGGGCCCATACCATGCAGGGCTTTATAGGTAAGTACCAGCACCTTGAAGCGAATCCGAAGGAACACTCATAAAGAGCTTTGAAGTACAGCTAGAAATTGTAAGATATTGACTGCTTGTTGATGATTGATCCTATGAACATTTTCTGGGTATTATGGGTCTACTATCATTCCAGTGCCAAAGAAGCCCACCGTCAAGGAACTGAATGACTACAGACCAGTTCCTCTAACATCTGTAGTTATGAAAACCTTTGAAAAGCTAGTACTGTCTCACTTGAAAACCATACCGAGCAAATAGATCAACAGATGATGCTGTTAATATGGCTCTGCACTACATCCTACACCACCTTGAATCTCCAAAAACCTACGCAAGGTCCTCTTTGTAGACTTTAGTTCAGCATTCAACACCATCATTCCAGACATTCTTCTAACTAAGCTAAACCAGCTAGCAGTACCTGAACACACTTGTAAGTGGATCATAAGCTTCCTAACAGACATGAAGCAGCAGGTGAAGCTAAGCAGAATCACATCAGATACCTGTACAATTAGCACAGGGGCCCCACAAGGATGTGTGCTCTCTCCACTTTTCTCTCTATATACCAATGACTGCATCTCAAACGATCCATCTGTTAAACCACTGAAGTTCGCAGATGACACAACAGTAATTGGTCTCATTCGAGACGGGAGGTTGAACAACTAGCCTCGTGGTGCAACCAGAACAATCTGGAACTGAACACACTCAAAACCGTAAAAATGGTAGTGGTCTTTAGGAGAAACCCTCCTACCACTTCTTACAATACTACCACCTCTTACAATACTAGACAAGAC